TATCAAAATGTCATTTGACAAATCCGTTGTTACACCAGAGTTATACTAGGGTGACGGGCGGAATATCGTTGGAATAAGTTTTGTTAGAACGTTACATCCAGGTTATGCTAAGCATAAGTTACACCGAGTTTATAAGTTGACATTTTGCGTATTCTGCACTAATTCTCGGTATAACATTTTATACCACGTTTATAAGTAGCGCTGTATGATTATAATATTTCTTGTTAGTTACACATCATTTAATAGTATTATAGCTGACTCGAGACCCTATGGTGTAATATGTCTATTAAATTCCATAGACGAAAATCTTTCGTATAAGAGTTTTTTATTATTATCAATGGTTCATATTTTTACGACCTCCTTGCCTAAGTGGTTTACACGTTGGTTTCAAGTACCTACCTATCGCTATCTATGAAGTCGGTTCCCGTTGAACCCTGGATGGGTCAATGTGGAAAATGACTTTTCTATATTGTTTCTGGTCTCGGCGTTGTTTTACTTTCTTTGTTAGAGATTTTAAATAATACAAAACTTAATTTGGGATATGTGGTATTGTTTTTTTTTTATACATTTTCCTCTTTCCAAAAACTTTATTTAATAGTTCTACTAGACGTTAACAAAACATTAGAAATATAAAAATCGGTCTAGCATCATTCCAGCGATGATCTTACCGAGGCATCTTATTTTTATTACACAGCTTTATGTTTTGTAAACGTTTGAATATAATAATAATATAGTTTTGCACTTAAAATTGAATGTTATGGGTGCTAAAAAATTTGTTCCGAATAATATGGTATAAGGAAAAGTATGACTTTTTGTACCCAAAGAGAAATTGTTTATAACAGACTTAAAGAAATAGGAAATTGTGTTTGACCGTGCATTAGGGTTCTCAACTGTTATAGAAGAATGAGTATATCTGATTTCAAAGGATATAAAGAGAACTCATTTGTAAAAAAGGAGTTTATAATATATGTTATATAATATCCATTGTAAGTTAATTTCATTGCATTTTGAAAGGAAGAAAATACATGTACCTTATAATTTTAATTCACATTTTCGATCATAGATGGCGTTATACAATTTTTCTTCGCAACATGGTTTTATAACCCATGTAATAAGTATCTTATGATTTTTTATCATAGTCGTTTTGAGCTTTATTAATTACCCCAACGTTTTAACGTTCATGCGTAAGTCGATAGACGATAACAATTATTGTAAAAACAAGAAATTAACGCCTCACGAGCAAGAAGCAACGTAAATTAACAAATTGAAAGTCTCACAAATCGAATTTAAGTATAAAAAGGGCAAGCTCGATCAATATGATTGAGTCTGAACTTCTAGAATATCTATCGAGGACTGCAATAAAAATTATATTTTGTCTTTTTAGCAGTATATGTACTTCATACTTACTAAATATGTACTTCCTTGTTACTTCGTTCTAGTTTCGGCAGGAGTGATATGGTAACCATACAGCAAATGTTCTACAATGCTGTCTGAATGCAAATACTCGATATAGCCTAGTTACATACTATAATCTAGGATTAGTTGTCTATGTCAGTAGGCCAGTAAACGGATCCGATACCACCAGTTCCTGATCAACTCGAATATAATAGGTACTTGGCACCATACACTTTGCTTAACAATATAACTGCGCTCAAAGACATTTAAATGTGGCGACTTTTTATTACTTACTTCAAATTCAATTGGCTGCGATTACCGAAATAAAATTACATAAACAATATTATCAACCCGATTAAAAATCGATGCTTACCTCTTACGTATATAAACAGGTGAAAAACTATATTAGACCAAACAAAATCGCCGTAGTACGATTTTAATTATGATTCGCATAAAATATGTGAAAATAATTTAAAAGCTCTATAATTACAATTATCAAATCGCTACAATATTGACATTTTATTATCCGATTAGAATTAAAATTGTAGGGGGTACACATTTAATTGATAACTGATAACAATGATAATTGAAAGGATTGATAACTGATAGAATGATAAGGAAGATGTTCTGAGGAAATAGTATAAGGGGAGGAAAATGATATAATCGAGTCGAATGGTTACAATATTCGAATGGATTTATTTTACGCCAAATGCGACATTATACATAAATGCTTACTCGTCATAATACAAATCCACGGCAACCATAAAGGCGCTGCGAACAGCACAAAATGTGCGGTACACAGTACAAAAATAAAAATGATAAATTACTTAACTAATTAATCTTACTTAACATTCGGATTCCCTACAGATCTGTTATGATGTTATCATGCGGATGTTATTCAAACAATGTGCTACTGATAACTGACCATTTTCGAAGAGAAAGTGTCGTGCTACTGATCTTGATCGGATAGTTTAATTGGACCGTTCCGATTAGTCGGAAGTCACGTAAGGAGGATTAATTAAATGTGTCATTGTCCGGTAGGTACTTAAACAAAACGATTGGACAGTTAGGCATTTTGCATAATTTTATGGCGATTGCTTGTAAATAATAGTAATGAAACGTGTATTTGACAAGTATTTGAAATTTAATTTACAATAGAAAGTGTTTATATAGAAAGAACATAAGTTAGATTTTATACGAGGCAAAGTTAATTTATAAAAAATATTATGGTGGTTGTGTAGAATAGTAATTGAATTACAGATACATTAACTCAAAGCTTAACATCCAAAGTACCCAATCTGAATAATTTTTAACTTATTTTTATTACTATTTGAAGTAGATTTTAATTGATTGAACCTATCACAGCGCTGTATTTGTGTTTGACGCTGTTTCTTTTTACATTGCAAAACAGGTTACTAGGCATTAATTCGATAAAAGTGCGAAAGTTATATGTTTATTTCGTTTTTAAACATTCTCTAAAAGGTTAATTATTATATATAACCATAATAAGTCATGTATGGATCGTTTTCTAATCGAATAAACATCTATAGCATAATCGAATACTGCGATGAGAGTACTATTTTCGACCATAGTTTATTACACGTTCACGTGATTGTGAGAAAGTATCGCTATCGTAAGAATTAAGAGTCGTTTACTATTCCATACGATAGAGCTTTAGAAACAACATTTGCAAAACGCGACTTTAATATTTAGATTAAAAACTATTATCACTTTTTTTTTGTATTGTAGCCTTATTAAATAAATGAAAAAAATACGATTCACAGTAAAATTAAGGACTACAAATATAACAGTAACTTAGTACATAAACATTATTATCGAAAAAGAATTAAGTCTTGACAGTGGTTCAAACACTTAAAACAGTGAAATTGTCTCCTATTTGATAAATGAGTGCAATAATTGGAACAATAATATAACATCACATTTACGGTGTAAATTATCGTAATAAACGATAAGACATACATTTTATACCATCCATCCTATGAATGAAGGTACATTATAACCGAGCTTTATTATCTTTTATAAATTTATTATTCATAAATCCAGCCAGGGCGAGTCGCGTCAGAAACGAACAAAATAGTCATGTTTGTTGTGTATGGGTGCCCACTTAAATATTTATTTTATTCTGTTTTTTTTTTATGCGCCAACAGAAATACAATCTTCTGTGAAAACTTCAACTGTCTAATTGTAACAGCTCATAAGATACTGCTTGGTGACAGACGTACTGGCAGACAGCGGAATCTTAGTAATAGTGTCCCGTATTTTACCCGGTGTTTACGGAAACTTTAAAATATCAAAAAATATCATTACTTTATATAATTCCACCATAAGGAATTCTTCAAAAATATATTACTGACGAAAAATATATGTTATAACTGTGTCCCCATAGTATAATTAGCACGAATATTACTCCGCGATTACAGATTTTAAAAAAACCTTACAATTAAATTTACAAAGATATTGTAACTGCTAGAAGTTAGTGTTGATTTAATTAAAATATGTTTTGCAAAGTGCAAAAAAAATGAGATACAAATTAAAGGCTTCATTGCACAATTTTCCTTTACTCAGCCTTCGATTCGGCAATCATTATTAATTGACGACATAAGTTATCTTTAAATATATGTATATTATGGCTAACGCAACGTATGTATTGAAATGTCATTATAAATTAAATAACAATATTCCGCTTATTGGTAAATTATATAGGTTTTTGCAAAAGCACATTATCTTGCCAAGAATTTTCTACCAAATTGAATTGGGAATGAAATTGCTATTATCGTCAAGATGGCGGCAATTATAGAATTCTTCGACGGGATTTAATGAGGACCTATGCTGAGATTCTATTGAGGGGTGATGTTTTAAAAGTTACAATTACTTTCAAAAAATATTAAACTTGCTTGATGGCGCGCTGGTTATCACAACTTTAGTAAGGACCGGCCATTAGATGGGTGACCAAAAGGAAAGCCTGTGCCTTTTCTTCGGAGAGATTAGAGCTGATGATGATAAGCATTAAATAGATTCAATTGTTAAAATTTCACTCTTATAATTATGGTGATAAATGATATCAATACTACTAAGATTTTCGGCATTGTCATCCAAAATATAATTAAAAAGACTTTAATATTTGAAACTTTGACATTAAAGAAATTCTTGAACACTTTAACACCCCACTTTACACTTAATAAGAGACGGAAGCGTCTGTAAAAAAAAAACAATTGTCTGATATTAGATGGACAGATTGACGGTGTAATTATGGCGCGGTACGCAACAAAAGCAACGTCCGGACATGTATAAATGTTTGTAATCGGTCAAATGATTGGTCTGAGACGTGGACAGACGATGTGATATATATTTTTTTAGATGATTATGTTACCGTTTCTTCATTTTATAATAAAAATAATAATTTAATACTCACCATAATCTTACCTTGAATTACATGGGAACAACAGTGTATGACATAGCCGACTGGTGGGCTAACGCCAGTGCTATGGTAAACTCTAAATCGCAAGTACTCTTCACAACACATCTTAAATAATTTGGATAGTAAGAGAATTCACTAATTTAATTGGGGGTAGTAATAAAGTATCATGAAGCAGGTGGACGCCGTAAGTATATGAATTAGAAAATGTGTAAATGAACTTTTCTATATTGTCTCGGGTCTGGGTGTTGTGCCACCTTCGTTGCCTCAGCACAAGCACTTATGAATACCGAAAACTACGCCATAGGTGTAAGTATAGGTATTAAAATTTGACACTAAAAGTTTTTACTTTTTACTTTTCTTAATGTTAGTGTCGTCTCAAAATAAAGGTTCAATCGAATAAAACTTTTAGTACCTTTAAAATCTGGTTTATTTTACTAAAACTCTGAATCAGATCATATTTCTTCAACGATTCCTTTTTAGTTTCTTTCTTTTTAACTCCCGGGTAAACTACTTCATTTTTACAAACTCATTAATAAGTCGCAATATTAAAAATAATTCCACAATGTTATAATAATAACATAGTAACTTTCAAAGTCCACCAAAAATATTCAAATGTCTGAACGCTGTTGCATTCAGACATTCTGCCATAAAATTGTAGAATGGCTTACAAGAAAATTAAGGGAGCATACGTCTTAACCTGAGCTTTCGTTCAATAACAAAGGTTAATTGCGATGAGTTCTAATTGTATAACCTTTTGCCGACACTCGTACGGAGTAACCAGAGAACTGTTGCGTCACGGACCGCAAGTTCCACTCACGGCTATTCTGATTACGTCATTTTAAAGATGAGTTATAAATTAGATTGTGAGTTTTAGCTTACAAAGCTCCTCTAATAAAACTGTTATGTGAAATTAAAGCCATAAAACTCGATAGTATGATAGTTGATAAATTAATTGAACATTATGCATAAAAGTGTTAAAAAATATACATTTTTTTTTTATTCTATAAACGGAAGCAGCATCCATCCAGCCAAATATTGTTATATTCGGCTGTATGGATGCTTCCAAAGCCAAAAAAGAGAATTGTGTTATACTGAGAATAATAGTACTCTCGGTGTGACGTTTTTTAGACTTTTGTGAATTATCTGAAATTGCATTACGTTACGTGGATGTGCGTGTCGGCATAGTGTAAGTAATCTTATTACAATAAAAAACGATGAAGATGTTCTTTCAAAACATTATAGTTAATATTAGATTAATTTCACGAATTAGTCTCTCGAACAGACGTGATGATATAATTTGAAAAGATTAAAAAAATTGCTATATAATTGTGATAATTTTAACTTTTAGATTTACATAATCCTAGACATAATTTCGTTTAATAACTCCATCACGACAGAACTGTAATGCCGTAAAATAACCAACACTGAGAGGTTTATATCATCGTTTAGTTACATTTTGCAGTTGCTCTTAATAGTGTGTCCTAATTATAATCATTACCTTTCAAATGATCTATGACTATTTCTAGATTTTAAATTAAAAACATGCCTGTCAAAAACGAATTGCCAACGAATTGCACGTTAATTATCTCTAAGAAGCAATCGAAAAAATTGTAAACATAAGAAGTAACTTTGTGATCTTTTATTCATAAATACACGTTTTGACTGGGACGTTATCCTTAGAAATATGATGTAGTTTCAGCTTATTTTGACGTTATTTCTTGATACAAGACCATTTGAAAGGTGGTCAATTTTGGCGTACCTACCTACGAGCCCTATTGGCTTACCACATATTGAAATGTAAATCGGTTTCATAGATAAGTCAGAAATTATTATATTTCGAAACAGTCGCTTAACCAACACTCGGGTATCGTAAATGTACAGATATTTAAGATACGAACAAGTAAAAGTGAACGTATCAAAACAGACGCTCACTTTTATTAGACCATCTCAAATAACATTTACATATGTAACATTTCGATAGCAACAATGTCGTAATAGTTACAATTGTGAACGATTATCGCTTTATTATACGGAGGGATTGTTAACTGTTCAGGTTCGCGCCATTTTATTCCGATGTATCGATAAACGTCACGATTTAATATTGTATAATAAAACACTCTATTCTAGCAGCGACGAGTATATGTGCCCCTAGTCCTCTAAATCCTCACTAATTATGTAAGTGTAGTGTAGGCTAATGAGTCATAATTATTGTGGGTTAGTTTCTGGGATAATTCGATCTGATAATAAAATTTTCTAAAGCAAAACCCTTCAGCTAGCAACTAGCTTTTTTTCTTGCATCTTTCCTGTCGTCTGTTGCCTGCCTATACAGTTTTGCCAATTCATCAGGCCGTGAGAAATTGGAGTATGTGGAAACGGAAAGAGGACGGTGGAAGGTTACCGTTATAATTGGGATTGTGGGAAGTGTTCCGTTACTAAGAATAAGATAAAACAAAGTTAAAGTGAAAAAGAATCGCCGCATAGTTGCCACTTTTTGCAGAGAAGTTGTCACTTTTTTGTGTACTTTGGACAAGTTTCATTCTGAAATTATTCTTATATTTGAGCGAAAAATCTAAATCCAAATTAAAACGATTGATATTTTAATAAAATTGGTAAAATAAAAATCGCCAGGATAACAAACAGTTTTTAAAACGATTTTGTAAAAATATATTTCACCTATTTGGATAGGTATCTAAATATGAAAACAAAGGTTTTAATTGTTTAATTTCCCGAATAGATAAATAAGGACATAATATACGTAGGTAAATGTTATAATAATTTTCATTTTCTGTTCAATAAATCAAGTTTGTCCTCGCTATATTTGATGAAAACTACATAATATGTGAGTGAACACTGATTTTAAAAGCTTTATTTAGGTACAGGCGATAGTAAGTAGAGTATAATTATTCAGATTGAATCGCACGTTTTTATTATGAATTACAATTTCAATGAAACGGTAATTGGATAAATACCAATAAATATAGCTTCAACAGTAATCGTTGCAACATAAATAACATAAATAACATAAATGATTTCCACTAACTTTAAAGTTACAAACTTCAAATTATTACCACACAATGCAACCACTGACGTGTCCTCTTTATTTCCCAAGACTGTCTAAATTGCAGCCCGGGTTCGCATGTTTAGTGTAATAATGAAACTCCTTAAATGTTATTTGCGTGTGCGCCAGTAGCATATAGGAAGGGACCCGGTTTAGCGACTGACGTAAACATAAACAGATATATTATAGGAAAACTGTCAATTGCTTTTAGGAAACAAACATTTAAACTGCTGCTTGGGATAAATTAGCGGATAGAATAAGGATTATGGATACATCGCATATAAATGGATGGAGTAATTTATTAGAAACTTTGTTTCATAATGCAAGGTTTTATTTAAATAACTTTTAAATTTTATAATTTATTAAGTAATTTAATTTCCGCTTTTGTAATCACAAACTTGATTTAAAAAATAAATTCCTTTTTATAAAATAGATAAAAAATCTTTTTTTTTTGTTTTGCTAATAATGTACTTGTTTTTATAAATTTAGATACTTACCTGCAAACCTCTATAGAAAATATTCTATTCTCTTTAACTTTTAATTTTCAATTACACAACAATTCGAATAACAATCGACTCTTTTCTAGAGATCGACCTCTGTGTCTGAAAACGCCCCCACACAATTCGAAAAACTCTATTCAAAATGTAACCCATCAAACACCGTTATCTCCATCGTGAGAAAAGGAATGACAATAGGGGTTACCTCACTTTTCGAAATGCATCATTCGTTTCGTAAACACAGAGCACTTACTATTCTATTATATGACTAATACAGCATAAACTTGTAGAAAAATAAAGATTCTCTCAGTATTATTGCGCAATCGAAAAACTCAATTACATTTCACTTGATATGCAAATCGGTAAACTAGAGAACTTTGTTTGCAGGCGTGTTCTTTTTTTTGCTTTGTTTATAAGTAAATCTCGATTACACTTTTACTTTCCAGGAGTTCGTTTCTCACGAAATACGAAGATGATTTGTAGATGAGCTGGAAAAATATAAATAATTGAATCGTACTTGATAGGGTTAATAGTCTTTTAATAGAAAATGAAAAACTACATAATATATTTAGGTTAAAAAAAATTCCATGTCTATTCCGCAATTATGTTTATTACTATTTTATTTACAGAGTATAAAAACAGAATAGACTCTTCTTTTCCAATTTCATCGTACTGGATTTACTTTTATCAATTAATGTTAGCAATCAAATAGGCACTTTATAAATATTTATAATAAATTACATCTGCTCTCAGTAGAAAGGCATAAACAATGAGTTGTAATTATTTCTTCACTTTAATATTATGAATGGTTAGCAAATGAGTGAATGGATATTTAATTTCACTTTTTTTATTTTGCAAGTTCGTGAGTGAGCAGTGTTAAGACAGGGTTAAGTATCGGTTGACGAGATGCCGTTGTCATTGCTCAACATCACTAATGCGTGTCCAGTTAAAAAAAAGATACGTGGATATTATTTCATAACTTATACGTCCCGTCTTAGCTCATCGTAAGATTATCATAATCTGAAAATATATTAAAACCACTTGACCTCCCGCCAGATTGACCCGATGACAGCAAAAAGGTTCAAACGATCACATAAAAATCTCTTTTAATGTGTTTCTTTTTTATAATCTGCTTTTGTGGTGTCAGTCGGCCTCTTCGAACACGATTTCGATTCGAGGCGAGAAAGGATAGCCGAAATACCGGTGGAATACCTGCACGTGTACTACTTTTATTTTTATTGGAATGCCACCTGGCCAGTCAGACGAAATTTCCTTTAGTCGAGGCCCCCCTGCTTATAAGAGGATATAGGTTCTTTAACAGACCAAAGTCAATTTATAAATATTCAACTTATTCTATAAACATATCTAGGATTAATTTGGATGAGATTTAGGTAAATTTTGTAAGTCATTTATAAGGATGTTCGTTTTAATTGGCAAATAAGTACGTATCATATAGATTTTTTTATTTGTTGAATTCTAATATAAATTAAGCCGTAAATACTCTAGTAAGTATAATATAAGTCCATGGCCAAATAAACATAGTTATCTAACTAAGAAATGCTCTATATATAAATTCAGTGATGCTCGTAAATGGCTCCTCAGATAAAAAGTTTAATAAATGCAAAAATTACAAAAAAAAATCTTCACTTAATTCCTCATGCATTATAGTACTTTCCCTTATTAAATAAGCAATTAGATCTAAATTTTGTGTATGTAGTTGCTTTACAAAGCTTGCAACTATGTGCTAATAAATATTGAATGGCTTCTGGTCGTAACTTAATTTCGGAATTTTAATATTTTTAAAGAAAATAGAAATAATGTATTCTTATTGAATCTGCATGTAAAGTATAGCTAACAATATTTATTATACTACCTGGAATAATATACCATTAAAATACTGAACGACTTTTCAGCCCGCGCACATGGTACCCAGCTATGCTAAATCGAAACGCAAAAAAATTGAACCTTAGATTTTATCACCATATAATACATTATCATGTAAAAATATTATTTGTCATGCCTTGGCAGACAGTTCGATGTATAAACACATCTTTATTGTTTCTTTGTGACATTAAATTTCTGAAATCCAATCAATCGAAGTCATGATGTAGCAAATGTTTGTGTCTCACGATAGAACTTTACCTTTTGCTATGTAGATAATACTAATAATTAGACCTCTCATTTATTGCTATATTGATATAATTCTTTATAATAAATGAAAACTACTTGTCTAAACTATGTCTTAAAATAATAACTACACTAAATAAAAAATGTCTCCCAGATCATTGCCTACAGGTAAGGTACCCAGAAGGCTGCGAGCGTTTCCTCTTTGAATAGCTAAACTAATTCTTTGGGCGAGGTACAAACCAGCCTTCTGATCACCTGACCTCTCAAAAAGTTTCTTTTTTAACTCTTGATAATAATTGTCTAATAATTGTTTCGTATTGTTTCAGGTCACAGCTTTGGCTGTACTCAGCCTAGCGCATGCCAAAAATGCCACAGCGAAAACGAAACCGAAACGACAACTGGATGACATTCGAACTCCACAAAACTTACAATACTCTTTGGTACTCCCTCATTCAAGGGTAGCGCACTTCAGAGCGCTAACCGGCAGCCGAAGGATCTCCAATTTATCTCCAAATGGTGGAAAACTGCCCCCTTACGCTGTACAGATGGAACCTGTTGTGCAATACTCGCAGAAAGATCCCTTGTACGATCCAAATCTTGACAACTTAGACGATCCAGTCGTAAACGAAAATAAAATTTATGCTCAACCAAAAATTCTTAACGTCGACTCTTCTGAACTTTCGTATGGACCACCATATGGCACGTTACCTACTGCACCTTTATATAGCCAAGAACACCATCCTCATTACTATGAAGCGCCTGAACCTATAATTGAAATCATCATTAAGGAATCCAATGAAACTCTACCAGCACCACCTTCACAACCAATCGTAAAGAAAAAGAAAGAACCTGTTCAAGTATTTTATGTCAAATACAGTAAGGACCCACACTCGAAAGATAAAGTGATATACGAGAAGCCTGTACCAGCTATTACACCTCCGTCTAATGTTGAAGATGATCACCACAATGATTACGTCACAGTCACTCCTGAACCACTATATATACCTACCCAGACAACAACTCTAAGAGCGATAATTAAACCAGAGTCTGAAGTCTATCATAGTGATAGCAGTGTAAAAGTCACTTTCGGTAGTGAAAATCGACACCACAGTGATAGACGCGAAGGAAATACAGAAGGTCATGAAGAAACTGCACCACAGCCCGCCATAGCTTATCCAAATCAACCATCAAATCATCCACCACTTGAGCTTTCAGTATCGCCAAAACCACAACAACAGCATGAAACACGACCAGTGAGTGGCCACCAAGCAAGTCAAACCTACAGGTCAATACAGCCTCAGGCTCAGAGTAGAATTCAATTCCAATCTCCTTATCTTACAAATGAGCAGCAATTACCAAGACAGGGTCCATCTGTAGCTCCTTTCAGACAACAAACTCATATTCCTCGTCAAAACACATTTGGGTCATTACCTTTGAGTGCTCAGCCTAGCCCTCATCCTTCATTTGCTAATGGCCCTCCGGGTCCTCCTCCACACTTTACAAATCCTGGTCCATCAAGTCCTCCCTTTTCAGGTCCTTTTGTTAGACCTAACGGTCCTCCAACTTTCCATACCCGACCTAACAGCCCTCCAACTTTTGCCCCTAGACCTCATTTCAACGGACCACCACCTAGAACAAGCTTCCATTCAGGACCTCAAAGACCGTTCCCTCAACCACATCCACAACAAAAACCGTTCTTTGATGAAGCTAAATATTTGCAAGAAAACTATCATACTATAACCACCGATCAAATAGAAACAGCTAAAGATCAACCGGCACCACTTAGACCTCCTCAAAACTTCAACTTTGTTCCTCGTCCAAGCCCAAGTCCTAGTCCTTCTCCTGCTCAATTCCAAGATCAGTCACCTATAATTCCAGTGAGTCAACAGTTGCCACAACAAAGACCACCTCTACATTTCAGTGACAACACTCAGAATAAACCAACATTTCCCAATACTCCCAGTCGTGTCCCATTTTTCAATTTGAAACCATCGCCACCTCAAATAGATAATAATAGACCACCTTTCTTACAGCACCAATCACAGCAACCATTCAGTTTCCATCAAGGGTCACAACCTCTTTTGCCATTATCTCGTCCTTCTGCACAAACACAACCAAATGTGCATAATCAACATTCCTTCTCTAGCCCCATTTCAGTTACTCCATCACCTTCTCCTGTTCCTCAAACTCAATTTTTGCCTCAACCATCTGCACCTACTTTGTTCAACTTACAACCGTCTCATCCTCCTGCACAACAGTTTTTCCATCAACCAACATTTACTTCAGAAAGGCCCCAGTTTCAACATCCCGTTGGCCCATCAGAAAGACCTAGTAGTTTTCAAGATCAATCTAACATTCAGCATCAACAGAATGTTGGACAATTTGTACCGAATGGCGGTGAGTTAGTAGCATCTATTCCCAAATATGAACAGCATATAACTGTCAATGGACCGACTGCTCAGCCTAGCTACAGTGGGTTTAGAGAATCCATTCAACCATCTCCTAGTCCCGAGCCTAAATATCAGCAATATCAATCACAACAACAACATCAGCAAAAACAAATTCAACAGATTCAACAATCACAATATCAACAACAACAAAATCACCATCCTCAACTGCAACAACAACAACAACAAAAACAGCATGAGCAAGATTTGCAACAGACACACCAACAACAACTCCAACAACAACAAAGTCAGCAATATTTCGATAATGAACAAGAACAAGTCAGATTACAACTAGCTCAAAATGTTGAAAAACAACAGCAGGAAATACAACGACTTCAAAATCAACTTATAATTGCCCAACAACAACAAAAGCAACAGCAACAACACAACAAACAAATTGAACAAGAATATAACCAATTAAGACATTTCAATCAGCAACAAATTCAAGCTTCTACACCGAGATCTCAATATTCACAGACATATCAAAGATCAAGACAAGAGCATCAGCAATCATTCACAGCAAGCACTCCTGCCCCTAACTATTACCAATCGACTTCCCAAACTGTCGAAATAACACCGACTACACAGAAATATGTTTCTTCTACTATTAATTCCATTAATTCAACACCCGAAGCTAAGAAAGAAGAAAAAAAGAAAAAGCCTGCCATTGAACTTCCCGATGAAGTTCCCGATGATCTGCGTCAACAATTGCTATCTTCAGGCATCTTAGATAATGCCGACATTAGCGTATTAGATTACGACAAAGTAGGTGAGACGCCGTTAGAGTCGCTACCTCCGGATCAGTTGGCAAACTTTTTCAGTGCAGGTGGTGCTCAACAGATAGCTGCTAGTGAACATAGACCCATTGTTGTTAAACCCAATGGTGATAGTATTGAATCTAGAATAGATGAAGATATAGAAGATGATCAGGAAATAGCAGCATCAGAAAACGTTGCAACTTATGTCGCTCCTCCAACAACTAGTAAGCAAGCAGTTGAAATGAAAGTGGTACATTTTGATCCTAAGACCGTTGAGGGTCAGAACATCGCTAAAGAGTATGTGAAAGACGACGCTACGCAAGTAGATCCTGTAGCTTTAAATGATAAAAAATATAATAGATACTTACCATTGAAGGTTAGCGGTAACCAATTTCCTCTTCCTGATATATTAAAAGGAAGAAAAATAACATCAGTGGTGGTACTAGCCCCAGTACAAACGGAAGCATTAAGTGGCGAACATGTGAGGTCGGAACGAGCAACAAGTAATACGCTAAAAGGGATTAAATTTATAGCTGGTGATAGCTTACAGGATTTATTGAAAAAACCGTCGAAAGATAACTTTCAGAAATGGCTAGATGTTGAAAAGAGAACTGCAACAGACTCGCAGTCCGTTATTCTACTCGTAACAGGGTAAAGTATATATTTTTTTCCACTATTAGATACTTAACATACAGCCGGTTTCTGAACTCAGTAAAAGTACAATATTTCAACTGATTATTCTAATAAGTTTAGTGTTTTACGTTTCATTAGTCAAAAAGTACTAGTTTTACCAAAAATTAAACGGGTTCTAGTCAAAGTGGTTTTATTATTAAGAATATTTTCAGTGTAGTATTGCGAATGCAAAATTGATCAAATACAATAACGAATCAACATCATCATCATCACCAGCCGTTTTACGTCCCCACTGCAGGGGCACAGGCCTACCTTATGGATGGTTAAGGAGGATAGGCATGACCCTCCACGCTGACCAAATGCGCATTGGAGGTTATTACGACTGCAAATGCAGCTGGGACCAACGGCTTAACATGCCTTCCGAAGCACGGAGTAGCTCGAGATAATAATTTTTTGGTCACCCACCCCGTGAACGACCACAGGCCGCAGCGCTTATCCACTAATAATTAATAATAATAATTAAATTTACTATGTCTATCTATGTACCACTAAATATAAATAAATTAATGGAGAAACACGTAATAATTTGCCTCATTTAACCTTAATATACAACTTCTAAACGGGTTTTAATCATTGTAATTTTCAATTTTTGAACATTTCAAGGGATATAAAATCCTTAGCCTGCTTGATCACAAGATTAACATGTTGAGATAATTTTAAATTGCAATACCTAAGTAGGAACTTACATATTTTGTCAGAAAATATCAATTGTCTATAAGTGCCATTAACGACCTCCGCAACCGAGTGGTTCGCACGCCGGATTCAACGTAAGTCTCGAGTTCGATTACCGGTTGTGTCATTGTAGGACAAAGGACTTTTCTCTATTTTACCCCTGGCCTCTGGGTGTTGTGTTACCTTCGTTGTCTCAGATACTCCATGTAACAGGGACTTTAGTCACTCATCTTAGAATCAATGTATGTGATGTTTTTATATTAAATGTCGTCTTTTTTTAATATAACTTTTATTATTTTCTATTTGACGACCTCCGTAGCGGAGTTGTTTGCTCGCTAGTTTCTAGGTGTCGCCATCTCTGAGGTCCCGGTTTCGATTCCCGGTCGGGTCAATGTAGAAAATGAACTTCTCTTTATTGTCTCGGGTCTGGATGTTGTCTCATATACTCCATAATACGGGAGCTGTAGCTTCTCGTCTTGGAATCTGAGCAATGTGCGTGATGTTGTTTAATATTTGATATTTATTGTATTTTTTATTTCAGGAGCGACGAACCATCGGGTGAACGAGAGATATTTATGTATGACATCGCATCAGGAAATGTTAACAAACTCAGTGGTGAGCTGTCCAATGCATTTGTGGAGGCAGCAGAAAACAATTCACTAAGTAAAGACATCGAGAAATTAGCTATAGAAGGTGAAGGGACACCAGAAGATTTCGGTAAAGATGAAATCGCTGAAGAATCAGAAAACGTGCCATTATATGTAGATCTATCTGGTCTAAATAGAGAAACTAATAATCAAGTATCAATATCGTCGGGCTATAGCAAAACGAAACTTGGCAGATCTTTAAGGAGACAGTGATAAAAAAAATTGTGCCGAAAGGAACAATTTCTGTAAATAGTATAGATTTTAGAAATACTAAATTAATAAGGCGGGCGTGTGTATTATATAGTCGATTATTATTACGGTAATAATCACTTTGTACAAATAAAGTACCTTTTTTTTACAAAATAATGTGTGTCTCATTTTTATTAAACGATAAACATATCACAAAATCGCATTATTATACAACGCAGCACGTCAGATTCCACACTATATTAAGATTTAAAATAATTTGAAGAGAAAGATTTGTTTAACCTGGCGTGTTTTTAACTGTACGTTGCCCATAAAAGAGAGTAGTAAGCCTTTGTGTTATCAAAATCGGAAATATTAAGATACCAAAACAATCTGGTTTCCAGTTAATACATATAAAAATATATATTCTAACCACATTCACCTGACCCACAACTGGTCGAAAATCAAACAAGAATCAAAAGGATATTTTCATAAAAACAAATAGTAACCTAAATATGTAAAACGTCGTCATCTATTAAATAAGTCACAAGACTTTTAGCAGTTTATGATCCCTTCCCTTCCTCTCTATCTAATAAAAAAGAACTACTGAACGGATTTTGATGAAATTTGGTATACAGATAGGGTATTAGCTGACTCAGATAATATGATACTTTTTATCCCACTTAACATTTTCCTAGGGTCCACGCGGGCGAAGCCGCTGGCGAAAGCTAATATTATATAAAGTGTTTATTTGGTTTAAAGTGTGGATCGAAATTTGAAATTAAAAGTACTCTTCAAAAAGTTTTATTAATTTTTTCGTATACGTATAATTCTATGTACATTGTAATTGATATAATAATTTATTAAATGTGGTTACGGACCCTAAGGGCGCAAATTGTATTTTATTGTTGCCTGTACTACTTACTCGATGTCTGCATACCTACATTACCAAAACCTTTGTATTTGAAATATTCCGAGTGTTAAACCTTTCATATTTTAACGATCAACGCCATCTATACACTACAATAATTACCTCTACCTATTGTAAAGGTAACTTTAGGGGACTAATTCTTAATATTATTTAACCGAAGTATCCGAATGTAGTTATGTATTATATATAATAGTATGTAGAAAATAAATATTCTCCATTTGATATCACTAGACACCATATGAAACGAAATAAATAATTTTCGATTATCACAAATATCAGTAACTTTAAACGATACGTCAATTGACTACGAATTTCTACTATTTTTTGGATTGGCAACATCGGTTGAAACTGTCAAACATATGGATTATTTACGGTGGAAGGAGTTGCAGAGTGAAAATTCGTCGTTTTTATTTTTCATGACTTTTGATATTAATTTTTGAGTTGTAAACATGATGGAAGGTTCTCTAAGTAAATGGACAAATGTGATGAAGGGCTGGCAATATCGGTGGTTCGTGCTGGACGAGAATGCTGGCTTACTATCCTACTATACGGTAAGTGACGTTCTACCTTTCGTAGCGGCTAATTCACGGTTATAAACATTAATTGCCATAGTAAATATTATGATTAAAAAATAAATTTATTTCATTCCCTAACAAATTGTGTTATATTAACTAATAACATGGCTAGCTCAAGTGACTGAATTTGTTTCTAAGATAAACGTAGAAAGCAGGCGACACTAGATATTTAATTTATTTTATAACTTAGAAGACATCGTATTTATTATAAATATTTACAATATCTATACTTCTTAAGATACTTTAGATACTAGGAATCCCAATGGAGACATTATGTGAATCATATAAAAAACTTTCATATTTTATATTCATAATTAACATGAACAACATCTGCTCAACATTGTCTCTTGTACTTAATGCACTCTGATAAAGAGTATGGCATATGTAGATAGATTTGATAACAAAACTGATTGGAGAAAGGACTTTATGAACACATAAGCAATATTAAAACAATTCATTTTAGGTATGTTTTGCTGACAAAAATATTTTTTACTGTAGTAATTTTGATTCCAAAAGTCTTCCCATTCATATGATATATATAAAAATAATATGATATGGTTGATAATTCAATATACCTATTATAACCACTTTAAACAATATTATACACAAACTACCATAGATATATTCTATTAAAGAATAGTAGTTATGACAGTACTGATGTATTTAGACTCACATTAATTAGCTGCTATAATTTCTGAACAAAACCATTTTTATTTATTTGTGAAAAACCATATATCAAAACTAAAACTATACACTTATAAACTATAGTTAACAACACAATAAGTTTGCAATCAATAAGAATTTGTGTACATCATTCAAAAAACATCAAAAATAACAAAATGTTAAAATTTTGTTTGTTTTGTTTTTTAACTTTATTTAAATATTATTATTAAAAGCACAAATTTTTCCTTGCCATCATTATAACATTTTGAGATTACAAACATTAAAATAAAAAAAATTATGATGTATCAATTATTTTTTGTTAATTTACAATTGTTTCTGTCAAGTTCGCCTTGACTTTACATAAATGAGGTGAAACTTCGTTGAAATTAGGCCTAATAGTCAATCGGATCAGTGTTATGATTTTTACTACAATTTCTTCACACTCAAAAGAGGAATATTGTAATTTGTCTTATAATTGTTATGTTGAAGAAAATTTTTGAATGAGATAATAGACACTGTTTTCAATAGGATTTGACTTTAATCAAGGAAAAAATTATTTTTCTTTTTTAACATAAGTTAAACCATTCTCGTTTAGCAGTTCATCATCGGCCTTCATGTAGTTATTCTTGAAAAAGTCATAGAACATGTAATAAACGAAAATAACATTTGGAAAATACATTATTGTTACTCCGAGGGGTGCAGGACAACTCGGTAAGAACACTTGAGCTGAGTATATCAACATCACTGTAAACTGTATCTGAAAAGAAAAGCATAATAAGGATATTAATTAAATCAAATAATTTATATTTATTCAAGTTAGCATTCACAATGCTGTTTGATATATAAGGTTATCTGTAAAGCAACAACAACCTCGCAGAACCAGATAGCCAATAGCAATATCTCATAATACATTGACCATATCACAAATGAAGTAGCCAAAGCATTATGGAAATATGAAACAACAAAGGTACCAACTAGAGATGGACAGTGTTTCTAATGGATAAGATAGGGAAAAACACAGGCATTTTGGGAATAAATGATATTTGCCTGATAAATGCTGATCAGGGGCATTAAAAATTATATCTTTTTAAGAAAACATTTTTTTAAGAAATAAAGAACTATATCAATTATTAGGATTACGCAAAAGAAAAGAATATTTAAGTATAGATTATTGTGACGTAAATAAGCTCTTAATCAATCTATACTTACAAAAGAACTCTTTCTGATTTATTCATCATTGCCAATCATAAACTATTGAAAGTGTGCCTATGATCTTTGGTCAGTAGAGTTATTTTGTTTAGTTTATACTCACTAAGAGAGAAATGGAAATTCTTAAAGGTGTGAAATAAGGGTTAAAAGTAGGAAGTCCATCAGTTTTAAAGTTAGAAACATGAAAATTTATTTTGAGATTACTAAAAAATATGAGTTACCAACTGCTTCACTGTTAAAGAAATTTTCCTTTAGAGTGGTAAAATAGGTGTTGCCAGTTTGTATGGGAGACGTCATTATTGAAGTTAGAAACGTGAAACTTTATTTTTAGTTACTGATTAAAAATTCATAAATTTCTTTTTCAGTGAAATTTTTCCCTTGAGGGTGGAATAGAGGTGAGAAGTTTATATCAGTCCATTGGAAGTGATTTTTTTAAATACTTATTTATTAATTGTATAAATTATACCCTTATAGACACTGTACAACTTCAAAGAAAGGTACATACACGGTAAAAATGCACACACAAAATCAAAGCCTCACTCTGCTTCTGTCAGTCATGTTACTGCGCTGTCATTTTCATTTGCCGATTGCCTCATTTATTATCTAATAAATGAAGAGACATGTAAAAGAAGTTAAAATAAAACATGAAATTTAGTGAAGTAGTTTTTAAGTCATTTTGTATTTGGCTACCTTTTCGCAAGAAAGGAATTTTTTATATTCGTACTAGAAATGAAAGCAACAACAATGTTGCTGTGTGTGAAATAAAACAGATTATTTAGATTGATAATAATAATATATGCTTTATTTTACACTATACATCAAATTGCAATATGCGTGATACCTACGCGATAGTAGGTGTTAAGCGATTAATATTCATTAGTCCAAAAAAAGTTTCACGTCTCTAAATCAAAAATGACAGATTTCCATGTAAACTTTCAACCCTCACTACACTCCTTCAAGCGTAGAATTTCCAGAAAAGCTAAAACAGGTATTTATTCATTTTTTAAATATAGTCTAAAAAAATATTAAAACTGTTCTTTCATATAAATTTTTAACCCTTATTTCACCCCCCTGGGATTGAAAATCTTTAAACCTTTCGTAGTGATTGAGTTTTTTGTATTGATGAAACTTTAATAGTTTATGATAAACGATGATGAATCAGTCATTGATTAAAAAAATAAGTATTTGTATTTATATTAATACTCGTAATCTATATTTACTTTTCTTTGACAACAAAACAGAACTAAGTCAATTAGTTAATCTTTCGTTTAATATTTTAATTAATTTTTGTTAAAAAATATAAATGCCTAGAAGTCGGCAACTTTTTCTCTGGGCTCGAGATTTTCCTATCACTGGTACCAACACCCAAACCTGAGACAACATAAAATTATTAATTTTTTACATTGACTTGACTGAGAATTGAACCTGTAGACTAATTCTCTAATTTCAAACAATCTATTTATAGGATTATGTTTAGTTTAAAGTCATAATCGTATCATAAACATAATACTTCATGATTTAAACTTTAAGTGATATTTGCGACGAACACTTGCCTTGGAGAATTCAAATTTTCGTCAGATTCAATTCCTATGACATTTCAAAGGCTACGACTGTAGTCTGAAATTAGTGAATATCTTTCAAATGTCAAATTGAAAGACATTGAGATAGATTTTAAAATTAGCTGAGGCTCCTGGGACCTCCTGGAGGCGACACATGGAAACCGGTGTCCGAGCTAATTGGCCACGGAGATCGTTCTATCAATTTTAATACATAATTTGTTACATTTCTCTTTCATATATAAATAAAATTTTATATGATTTACCGTTCCAGTGTTAATAAACTCTACACGAAACACCGTTATACGTAAATACTTCTAAATGCGCGCGAGTAATGACATAAATATCACGACATTCGACAAAAACCTGGAAAATCAATTTTATTCAAAGTATTGTATTAAGGTAAAACTTGTAGATTAAATGATTTTGATAATGTTAGCTCTAATCGTACGAGGTTGCTGGTGTTTTACAATTAACTTTGGGAACCATTGATCTATCTAATATACAGATATTAGATCATTGTTTCGTAAAGGCGCTCCGACCCGTCTTACAAAGTTTTCGATTTTTGGAGCCACCCTGTAGCTATCTTAGTTATAATTGAAATAAAACAAAATCTTAAACAATGGCAAATCGGTCATTAGGGTCCACTCAATATTCGATTGCGACTAGGGTTGCCATCTTCTATAATAAAAGACCCTGACTCTGCGCTGTATTAGGCCGTGCATTTTTCATAAAAGCCAGTCTTTGCCTTCTTTTATAGCAAGTTATCACTTTCGACAAACTTAACGTACATTTTTGGTTGTTTATTTATCACACATTAAACAATTTAATATTTTTGTCATCATATGGCTTATAAGCAGATTAACTATAGCCTAAAGGCCGAACATATAATAATTAGCGCGGTCTAAAGCTCGGATTGTTCCCTAATCAAGATCCATACCTTGGGAAGTACTGAATTAGATTATATATAAAAACTTTACTGTCATTATGGATCCGATTGGGTTTAACGATACCCCAGTTTCTTGCACGCGTTTAATACTAAAGTAAATAATAACTTAATTAACAAGTGAATTGCATAACAACCAGCCATGTCTGACGCGTAAATCAACATTCATCCTAGGGCTTCCTTTGCTGTCGTAATATAGAGAAGTATTATCCACTTGGAGTAGAAATTATATAGTTATGATATAGTGGAGGCTACTCTGAGAAGCTGCTCGGGGCATTAGACGGCAAACTAGCGTCAAATTAATCTTTGGTCCTAATCAGAATGATCTTGCAATGTGTTAATTGATGCCAAATTGTAATGGATCTAGATATAATTGCATGAAGTAATTCATTTAAGAATTAACACAAACATCAATTAAAAACTCCAATCCGATCCGATTTGTTTTAAATAGTGAAACCCTGACATATGCTTTGCTAACCCTAGGGTTTCCGCAGAGCACAGTTTAAGAAACGCTATTATATATATACTAACCATTTGCATAACAGTAAGCCATTTCTTATGTTTGCGTAGACAAGCCTTAGTTTTGATACTTCCCTCTGCAGACATCAAGTAGTAGGTGTACATAATGACGTGGACTCCGTTGTTTATCATTGCCGAGAACGATGTGATACCACCTGTGATATATAAAATGGCCGCGTTAAATCATAAAACACGACATTAAATATTAAATTTACATTAGAGTTGCTTTATTGCATTACGTAGAACTATTTTGTCTACGATCCCATCATATTTATATCATGTTCACATTCCGATAAGACGGAACATTCGTATGTAAACAGTTGATACCAATTTCTTTTGTCATATAAATCAAATGTTATTTTGTAGTTTCTTGTTAATGCCATTTCTTTTATTTATCAAAATCATTAAAAAATCTTTTTAAATGGTTTTTAAAACTAACGATTTTCTTCGCTTATTTTGAACCTTAATGACTTGAAGGGACCATTCGAAATTAACGAAAAAAATAAAACTGATATAAAAAAAAATAATAAACATTAACTACTGAAAAGAAAGAAATAATACCAAAAAAAATGTATCTTCAATAAAATCGAAACAAAAGCGGATACGGCAACAATTTTTTTGATGTCGGTGCCAGGTATTATATTCTATGCCAGGTATTTATATTTAAACATATATAAAATTTTGCACACGTGATAAGAAGCCCATACAATGCAACATAATCATATGAATATGCCATTCCGACGAAATTATAAACACACCTCGAATTGATAACATCATTTTTTTTGAAGTTGATTAAATAGACATTTTGTAATAACGTAAGTGCACATAAAAATGCAAGGAGTAATTATTTTTTTACACTATAATATATCTAATACGGCCTTTGTTGAAACTGCTCATTGATTTTCCTACCACATCATCAAAGAGTGAAATGTTTAGGACTTCAATTTATCCATCTATTCTATGCATATACAATATTTTTGTACCGACCGACCTTTGATCTTCAACGGTCCAAGGTTTGCTAGTAATGTGAAGACTTAAAACTACGTATACCTATAAAAATGAGTAAAAAATTACGCGGAATAAAGCATCGAAAATATTTTCAACGAATAATTCTCAAAACCATCAGATAATATAAAATTTTGTCAACATAAAAAGCTTAACAATGCAATGGAAGGTTAAAAAGGTAGAGGAATGTTCACTCAAGCCTATGGACAAAATGAAGGGAGATTTAATTAAAACAACCCGTTGAATATTCTCCTATTCTTTGATACTCTACCCTACACTTAATCCGTAGAGTTATTTATAATTAATAGGTACTCTGAAAGCTGGGAGAATTCTCGTTACGTGTGCTGTCCTTTAATTAATTAATTATGAAGTGCTACTACCTTGAACAAGCGAAATAAAAAGTAAACGTCATGTCGTACCAAAGAGTTAAGATCATAGCATATCATAGAGGACAGGGAATAATGGATATTAATCCACCGAGAAGAGTATCACTCTTAAATGTTATAGATAATATGCTGCTGTGAATAATATGTTATTTTGAAACAAATATATGTTATTATGAAACAACGACAGTTACTGCTAACTGAAATGCTAAGAACGACATTGCATTTGCTCTCTTAGTAATTTAGCTGACCGAATTAACCAAAAATACTACTAATGTTGAAATACCATAGACAGTTTTAGTGAATGTCGTTACTTCCATTAGAGCTGGTGAGTTTCTTGCTCGTTCTTCTTTTTAGCCAAAAGAAATCCTAAATGGAAAAAAAAATTGGACGATACAAAAAAAATTGAATGGACATATTTTGACTTGGACCTACTATACTTGAGATTAAAACTAGTACACACTTTTTACATAAGGTAAAACGTGAATTCAAAAACCTATTGATAAAAACTTGAGTCACTTTGTAGCATCAACGGTAATTGGAAATAATAAGCCTCGGCTACAAATTAGATGGCTGAATAGTTCTGAATCGATAAAATTGAGCTTCATATTATCTCCAAAGAAATTGTGGTCATTCTGTATCTTTCTGTTGGAACAAGCAGGTTCATTAAATCGTTAATCGCTTTTATAATGAATGTATTTTATAATAATTATGTATATATGTATTTTATGCATAATTTATAGATATTTCATTATGTTTCATGTGTGTATATTGTATATGTAAGTATAGTTACATAATGATTTCTTTCTACAAAATTTCCACCTCTATTATCCACCCCGCCATCTAATTCTGTTCACATTACCCTAAGGTTGACGGCATTAAGTACGTCAATATGTATTGTGCAAGAAGTTTAAATAAATAACTATGTATTCATCAACCCTGTTACATCCCCACTGCAGGGCTCAGGCCCTCCTTATGGATGGTTAAGGAGGACGGGCCATGACCCTCCACGCTGCCCCAATGGGTATTGCACGGTATTAACGACTGCAAATGCGGCGGGAACCAACGACTTAACGTGCCTTCCGAAGCACGGAGTAGCTCGAAATAATATTTTTTGGTCACCCATCCGGTGACAGACCCTTGCGAAGGATGCTCAACAAGAACGATCGCTTGCCGCGGCGCTTATCCACTACGTCACCAAGCTGATATGTATGGGTAAGACGTTATTTTGATTGGATCTTATAGTGTAACTGGGATCTTTAAGGACCATATCATATGTTCTTCGACTTTTAATATCTTAGCAGAATATACTGATCAGACACCACAATTTTTGCTTATAATGTCGCTGTTGTGGTTGTGCATTGAGAGGTCTCTGAAAGTAATTATAGCCCAGTACCCAGGCTTAATAGGTATTAATAGGTGTTTTGATCATATTTTCTTTTTAATGTTATTGATAACATTTACATCCCGGTCTTCATATATTGTTATCTCTCTCTCTCCATCCCATGGTTGCCTGGAAGAAATCGCTTTAAGCGATAAGGCCGCCAATTGTTACATTATTTTGTTAAACTGATTTAAATTTGTAAATATAACTCGTGTAATGTTAACAATAAAGAATTTTCTATTATATTCTAACAAAAGAAGTTTCATTTAAATATGTTCAGTAGTCTCGGAAATTAGCATGAACGGACTGATAAAGTCATTTTTTTTTAGATTTGTATTCTATTACTGTTTGTTAACCACCCTCAATTACTTTTTAATATTCAATGCACTGACATTATAATTTGGAATTTTGACTAATCCAAAATGCTCTCTATGAATCAATTCGAAAAAAAAAATCTTCTTTTGTGAACATGTAAATCTTATAAATTTAAAAATAATTTACACTGTTATAATTATGAATATATGTGACTAAAATAGAATATGTAAAATTATATCCTGAAATAGCCTCCCAAGTTTTTATTAAGAAACCCAAAAAGGGTTTTTCTTTACCCATTATAACTATAAAATAAATCAATTCTCAAGCTTAGTCAGCCTTTAATTAATTCACCCAAGCATCGAACCCGTCACAGTTGCTATCCACAACTCAAACGAAACAAAAAGTGAATAGGCACTTTTTCGAGATAAATAACCGATTTCTCAAATATATCCAAAGAAAATCGTAACGACAGTATTGGAACCTGGAATAAGGATCAACAAATATACTTTACATTAGTATATTTGAATTGAAATTGATATCACAATCATACTAACATTTTGGCAATCCGGAACATAAATCATTCGTCGCACAACACCAATATTATCTTTAGTTGACATCTTTGAAGAACATCCTTCACGCAAATTATAATGCCCTACAATATTTTTCTCTTTCTGACGATCTAAACACCAATTAGTAAAATGCCGCATTTCCTAACCTTCTCAAATTCACAGAACATCTTTCAATCAAGCACATTATCAAATTTCACCAAAGATAAAACAGTAAGTATATTAGCAACACCAATATCATTAGCATCTATTTCTAGCTTAAATAAATTTTATAAAATTAAGTGTAGAATAATAATTATTTACCATATACATTTACCATATTTTTATAGAAATTGCGGCGCCGTTGCAAGTGCCACGAGCAGAGAATGAGTAATGTCGCTCGTAACTTTATTGTTAAGTTTGACCTTTTATTTCATTTTCCCGAGCTTAGGAACTTTTTTCCTATAAGAAATTATACTGTTTATTATATATCCTGAATTGATACATTTACAAACGTGAAATATTGAATAAATAAATATTAAGCAAACATCACATATATTACTCAGATTCAAAGATGAATAGCTAATGCCCCCGTATTATTGAGTATCTGAGACATGACTTATACCAAATTTGCAGCTAAGTGACTATAAACTAATATTGTTTGTGACTAAATATGCTTGATACTTGATACGATAGACTATAGTACATTACTAGGACATCATTAAACACCATTCAATATGTATTTATCGCGTCGACCAGCTTCGCGATTTCATATCATTTTCTCTTTACCAGAATGCGCACGCTTTTTGTTATCCAAAACACACGTTGCGCTAATAATATTGGTAACACCAATGTCATTAGCCATTATGACCCAAAAAGTACTAAACGCGAAATTGTAAGGAAGCGAATGCTATCATCATCTTGTCATCATTATTTCATAACATGATATTGCAACCTCCTTTCTATTACGTACTATTTGCAATCAGATATACGACCAACAGGTGATATACAACCAACATATTGTATTTCAATTTTTTTATTATTTTATAATGATGTATATGCGATATCTTCGTATCAGTAACGAGACGTAGTTATCATTGGATTATGTGCTTTGTCTTGTTGAATTTAAAGTTCGTTTTTGTTTGTTTACATTGTAATATGCTTTCACTAAGTGTTGCCAGAATGTAGAAACTTATTATCTACATTTTCGTTTACGGGATGGACTCTGTATTGAATCTGCTTATTCGGTAACAGCGTGGGAGTGAGGAGTTTTTGAATTTACAAAAACTCTTCATAGAATGATACACGAAAAAGATTATAGAACCTTATAGTTATATAAATATCTAAGTTTTTTAGTTGGCGTACAGGCGTATATTAATTTTCGATATATATTAAAATACTTTTAATAGGGATGACAACTGGGTAAATAATTGCAATTCTATTTAGTCCGTCACGTCAGATAATAGAAAAATATTTGCTTTTTTTTTACTTCAATTTAACTAGAAATAGCTTAAATAACAGGCATTAAAGTCGAGGAGTGGGGGCTCACTACGTCACAGTTTTGTAGCGACGTCATGCGATTTTTCAACTCCATGTATTGCCGTAATTTTATGATTACGAAAAAAATAAAAAATACTTGTTTCATATTTTTCAACACTCTACTTGACGGACAAACAAATAAAAAGTAGTCGTCATCCCTATTGTAGGGTTTATCAATTCATAGTTAGGAATAAACGTTTGCACTGACGAAATGAAAATCGCTTAAGCTTAAAAAATCCAGCTTTTAATTACCGACGTATTTATGGTTGTAAACATTAACGCGTGTCCTGGTTTGTTTTTATTGGGTCAGGTATTTATGCAACATGAATTATAAAAATATACTAGTTGTATAACGGTGTGCCGTACCACAATTTATTTCGTCCTAGGTTTCCGCATACAAAATTTATCTTTGATATTCAACACCATTTCTTTTTATTATTCACCTTTCGTAATTTGAAATCAATTCGTAAAAAAATCTTCTTTTGTGAAAATAAATTAAAAATATAAATTATTTTTAAATTTATAAGATTTACATGTTTTATTTACGTTGTTATAATTATGAAGATATGTGACTAAAATAGAATATATAAAATTATATCCTGTAATAGCCTCCAAGTCTTTATTAAGAAACCCAAAAAGGGTTTTTCTTTACCCATTATAATCATAAAATAAATCAATTCTCAAGTTAAGTCAGCCTTTCATTAATTCACCCAAGCATCGAACCCGTCACAGTTGTTATCCACAACACAAATGAAACAAAAAGTGAGAGGTCACTTTTTCCAGGTAAATAACCGATTTCTCAAATATATCCAAAGAAAATCATAACGACAGTATTGGAACCTGGAATTAGGATCAACAAATATACTTTCCTATTAAAAATACTTATCTGAATTGACATTGATATCCAATCATACTAACATATTGGCAATCCGTACTGCATGGATTGAAATAATTCAAGCAAAACACCGCCGAAATACGAGCGCTACATGGACTAGCTAGCACTGGACCCGATGGACACCCATTAGGAAAAACCCTGAGAAGCCCATGTTGGAGACCCGAGTGTAGCACCCTCCGCTTTTACAAACGGACGGGAGACGGGATCTCATATTAAAGCATCACTTCTGTTGCGTTGTGTGGGATCTACCACCGTGACGGTCTATTATCTAGGTAAAAGGCTGCGAGGTACTCAAGTCTATTCCCACCTGCAGAAGAGGAACATAAATAAAGATTTCCAAAGGCAGGGCTGGGTCTGGCGCCCTTATTATTCCAGTATTCCATGATTTGATCTTAATTTGAACCCTGATTTCAGGCATGAAGTGCATTTTCTCTCGTTAACAAAATGAGGGTAATCATACAGACACAATAAAGACAACAGTATTTTAACGTGACCGCATTTTAAAAATATCTATTGTACACTCTCGTTTAGGTGTTTCTCTTTGGACTTTATCGTTAATATCGGATACAGTCGCACCTTCCTCCGTGAATTATTAAATACCAATAAATCGGTATCTGTTTCGACGCAAAAAAATGCGAATTATTTATTCAAGCCTCAACTCCTTTGTTTCTCTATGTGGAATGACGTCATTGAGGTGTATGTTTACATTAGTATCTCAAGTGAACTTAATACATGGTTTGACCCTTATTAATTCAATACTTCAAAATATCAAAATTAAGCATCAAAATAATAAAACCGATCATTTAGGACTGTATTATTTTACCAGAACAATGTTGCGATTTGTTGGACTGCGTAGGTTGAGTGAAATTAAAGACGTACATGATTGTGAATTTGTGTGAAAACTTTATTACCTAATAGTTTAACAAAAATACATAATTATTACTAGGTTTCGTCCAATAATAATATGAAAAAGTAGGCTGTATTCGTACGTGATAGCGGAGTGACACAATTTTTCGAGAAATGCCTACGCATTTCTCGAAAACTTGTCTAAGCCTACGCTTAGCTTTGTCATATTGCGATGTTTTAGCATGCGAATCGGTGGGATGAGAATCGTGACTATTGTGACACGCAAAAGTACCATGTACTCCATAATATGCGCTACTTTACCCAACAAAATGAAATTAAAGGCTTCATAATTTTAATTTTTAAAAGATCGCTTACCACGATGCGGATTTCGACATATAGACTGTTGTTATTTCTGAACGCTTTTTTCACCAATAATCTGGCATTAGTTAAATGTTTACATAATATAATTTACTTGCTTTTCATTATTCACCAACCTATTAAAGTTCTAATTACTGGAACACAGGCATTCCGTATGGAGAGAATCAAATTGAAGACAGGACTTTAAACCACCACGCGGTCCCAGTTTGGATTGGTAGACGTTCACGACTGCCTTCCGAAGCATCGAGAAGCTCGAGATAATTTTATGTCACTCGTGCACTTATCGGCCCTGGCGAAATTTTTTTAAACTTTGTATCGCAGACCGAACGCACTACCCACTGCGCTGTCGATTTTCGCATTTTATTATTTTCTTAATTATCGGCCGATCATCACTATGATGATCGACATTTGCCGAAAATCAGAAACCAAATATCCTAACCACTGCCTCGTTAAGTTTCCTGAATGTTAATTCTGTAACTCACTTTAAGTTCTCATACACTATCTTCTGTAGCCTTTTCGATAGAAAATCGTAGTTCTAAAATTCTCCCGTACAATAGCTTCCATGCTTTTGAGTAACATTCCGGCTGTGTTATATGGCACTTGTATGATGGCATTAAGATAGATGTTTGCTTTGCTCTCGGCGTGATTCCAGTTTCCTTTCTACATCTCTGACACAAAAACCGTGGCACTTTTTTTTAAAGATAACACTGATTCTTGATTTAGTTGTAGCGAATTTAATGTTTCACTTTTGTTGATTGAATACTTCAATTGAAACGATTTTACCGACTGCAATATAGGAGTAGATTAGATGGATAATCATAAATTATCAGCTCTAATTTATTCCTATCTGAAAGCACGTCAAGTGGTGGTGTCGGTGTAAATTATGGGTAATTTACCCATCATTGACACCACTTATACATTGTCGCGATTGTGCTCTCGGTCGGGTGAATGTTGTTAAAGAGATCTTATCGTCTTGTATCTGGTTTTAATAGTTATATTGTAGTCATTATTTCTCTTTTTCACTAATGTTTCAGTTGCAGACTTTGAGATAAGAGTAATGTGTATTGTTATTATTCACTCATTGGTTCTACCTTAAATAAAGCATAACGTTTAAAACGTACCATGATAAAAGGGCTTTTAAAGTAGTATCAAATGAATTGTTAACAAATAAATATAACTTGACTGAACATGAGGTAGGATTATTTAGTGAAAGTTATTAAATATTGGAATAGCTTTGTAGCCAAGGCCTGCAGAGGGATTTAAAGTAATCCTAATGGTTATCGAATCATTAATTAATTTTAAAAAAGTGATGCTATAGCCAGACTCTTATTTTTCTACAAGAAAGTTTTTACAAGTACAAGTTTTATTGGCACTTTTATTCCATAAATACAAAAAGTGTAAATATTTCTCTAACCTTACTAGCCCAGATATATGTTAATTCTAGTTCAGAAGCTCTTAATACTTGTATTAGTAACTAATATTGAGCAGTCGACTTGAAGAGTTATTAGTCTCCACATACCAATACGTGAAAATCTTAATATTGAATGCGGTTAGTAAATTTAAATTATCTCATTGATATTATTAGTAATTACTTAAAAAAACTGGATTGTAATGTTGTTATATCGTGTAATTAAATATTGAATATGGTTTATGTGCTTTAGTTCCAAAATTGTGAATATCACACGCAAACTTATATATGTTCGCAGAGGAAATGTGTCGCGAGTTTATTTGCCATTACGTACGTACATGACCAGCAGACGAGTCGTGTGATCATAAACGAACCTTACAAATGATGATATAAACTATCATACCTCATAATATGGATCTTCTAATACATGACAGAATACTAGTTTTCTCCGCGAGGATTACTAAGTCTTTTAACCACAATTTAGTACCTATCCTAATAGGTATGATTCTTTGTCCCGTGAGAAATAAAAAAATCGCCTACATTAAAACATTTCTTTATTTCTCATATAGCATTACATCGGGTTACGCAAAATTGCTAAATTTTTACCTTAACTGACAACAGGTTAAGGCTTAAACCAAATCCTAACAAATCTGACCATTTTGAGAGGATTAGCCTGATGTACTATCAACATACTCATTTTGGAAATTAGGATTTTAAGGCAGTCACAACTAATATTTATACAATAAACAATCCTAACAAGAATATTTAACGTATATTTAAAAATATATATAATATGGGTCCTTAATAAGATCCTTGTGGTAAATCTGCACTGAAACTTGTTAAAAACCTGCCTTAATGTTAATTTAAACATTTAAAATTAAATATTCTTAATTCTTCAGTATATTTACTTCGTTATATTAATGTTTTGTTTGTTTTTTATCAAATTTGTATTACTAACCGTACGTTTGATTTCATTTAGCTAACGAAGCTCTAAATGTGTTGCAATTAGAATGCGGAGCAATCTATGTTAATTGGCAACGTGAGGTTGGAAATGTTGGATTATTAATCATCATCTTTAGTTATGCACATTTCTCGCTTTATTTGTTTTAGACATAAAATTAACATTCAAATAGCCAGTATTAAAATTATTTAATATTCAGAAATCAAAATATCAACGTAAAAATTCCTAACAAGATACGTTTTGTTTTGCGGCCTACCGTTACTCACGTGATGCTTTTTCAGCATTTTTAACCTCCCCCCTTGGTGATAAATGGTGGATGATGTTTAAGACGAAACTCCCGCCTCCTCCAACAAAATCATATGTACTTTTAGTACCTACAATTTTATTTTTTTTATCTTTATTTTTGACCCCGCTATTTATTTTGTGGTTGAGGAAAAGATAAATACACGTGATAGATTAATGGCGGCTCCTTTGGTGATTTATAATGTTTATTAATCTAGTAAGTTAATACAAAATATCTTGATGTCTGAATGAATTCATTTTATTTATAAATCATTATCTTTACGGTTTTAATAATTATTGAATTCACTTAATAATGTGGACATAGTTGTTTAACTCTTTTGTATATACTACACACTTATTCAATACTTAAAAGCTTTGAATGCTGAAATAGCTTTATAGCTAAATGTTGAAACGAGTACTCGTAAAATGTCCATAAGACCCCAATCAATAAACCCACCTCTACGAATGGTGTTGCTAACAGTGTTTGCCTAAGGCATGGACAATGGTAACCTAATCTGTTTGAATCAAACACTGACCATTTAGAAGCTTTGAACATGTTTCTGGAAATACATATCGACTAGTTTACTATGATAGTTAGAATTGGGTGAAAGTTCAACACTGTCATACCAATCTACAAGACTTGTGTTTTAGCCTAACAAGGCCCAACGACCCCAAAAAGATCTTCATTTTCATTTTACAGGTTATTTTTCAAGATAAAGGTACAGAAGAGCAAAGAAGACGTAAACCAATTTTGTTTTTTTTTATTTAAAGATCTATATTGGTCCCATTTTCTCTCTAAACAAAAATAAAATATTCAACATCTACCTACAATTTTTAAAGCAGCACATTTTGCTTGTACAATAAATTGCACTTGATATCTTTCATTTTATTCTATTTGTTTTTTATACGGTATCGAAAACAATAGTTAAAAAGTAGGTACAATAAGCAAATATCAATTTTAAATCTTGACTCGTCATCTCTGAATTATGCCATGTAAAAATTCATTGTGTGTGACTGACAATCTTCGCTGACAATTGATTTTTGCGTGACATGTAGGTTTTCGTTTCATCAATATGGTTTTTAACCTTTTTGTTTGGAATGCTACATTCACCTTTCAAACGTGTTGAAGTTGTTCAGCAACAACAGTAACAATTGCTGTTGATCTGTCGGATAAACCTATACCGGAAAAGCTTAGCGGCGGCATTTCTAGACCGTTTGTAGATACCGCTTTTGTACTGTTTGCAAAATCCGTGTATAGTCTTTATGTAATATTATAGTCTAAACAAGTAACATTTGCAATAACTATTTCAGTGGCTTTATGTAACCAACGTTTATTGTAGTTAGATGATCAGAAGGAGAGATAGGTGTTGGCTCCCCGGATATCGTGTCGACTTTATCAATTATCTGGGTTATATAGTTTTAAATGAAGTTGTTTGCATTTATCTACTTCAATTTGGCGTTAACATACAGGTATTTAAACAATCAATCAGTATTTTGTATACTCGCATACTATGCATTCAATAAAAAGCGCATGTAATTGCATTAGTATACGCAAATTAGTTCATGTTGTTAAACCTTTATAAATTACACAACTTAGACAAACGCAAAGACATGTTAGATATAACGTTCTACTATAAAATCATGCGATACCAATTGCGTTGTCCTACATTGTTAGAGATGTTTAAGTTCAGGATACCGTACCATATACCACGCAAGCCAATCAAACCAATTATGCGTCCGTTTCGCCGAACGGTTCTGGGTGCAAATTCACCAGTATCGAGAATTGGTAGATTATTTAACAAATATAGTGATTCCCTTGATGTAAATGCGTTGTCTCTATTCCAGTTTAAAGCTGAATTAAAGCGATTAGTGTCTAAATAATTGTTCAACTCTCAATGTCTCAGTGTATTAAGTATATTGTTTTGTTTGTTTTTTTATTTGTAACTGTTTCCTAGTTGTTTTTCATGGAGTGAGATTGTGTGATCCGTAAACTAAGTAAATGTTTATTTCAGGTTTTGCATGCGATGTTCACCTGTAAATGATTGTACATTCAGCAAATTTAAATTAAGTTAGTTTACTAAATCAAATTAATGTAACAATCGTTGGTGTACTAAATAAATAAATAAATAAATAAATGTTGAATTAATCTGCATATACTAATATTACAAAGAGTAAAGATTTCATTGTTTGTTTGCATTGATTTTGAAAACTCTTTCACCTACTGGAAGCAAAATTATATATGCGTATGACATAGCCTATAATTTACTCGGGCGAAGTCTTGGGTTAACATCAAAATACATAGTGACGTCAATATCATTTAAATGAAAGTTTTTATTAATTTATATCACGGCGATTGTCGAACAATGTCACAATAACTGACTCATCGAAGTTGATCGCTCACAAATAGTAATACAAGAACAGCTAATGACATACACATATGCACAGTACAGCATAATCAAATAATAGCATCCTAACGGATAAAATACACTGAAATAGATGCTATTATCAGTGTGTAATCTCATATGGATTTAGGAAATGGAGTCTAGAACGATGGGAATTCTTTGATATTGGAACTAGTATAATGTCTGGAGAATAAAGTACTAGCATAAACACTGATGATATCTGTTCATCTATGTAGTATTTAAATAAAATAAAAAAACTTATTTGTACTCGTTATTATTACCACAAATTACTATACGGCATTCCGTAATTTGATGTTGCACAATATAATAATAAGACAATTTTGACTTAAGGTCCTTTTTGTATTGAGAGGGCTATAAAAGCAATATAAACAGTACCAGACCAAAGCTTACAGAAGTCGCGATAACCTCCCATTCGTTGACCTTATCGTAGTCTGACAGACAGATAGACGTCATATCTTCATTGAAAATAAAATTATGGCTTATCAAAGCGAACTTTTGAAAGTTCTTTAAGTTTTGAATCGTGCAATCACATAATTTTAAAAGTATTTAATTTTCAATTCGATGCTGCCTTTCCGTTATTGTGCACCAATCCTAAAGTGAAATGTGCCTTACTATTCTACGCACAAATGATTGACATATTGAAAACAGATTAATCGTGCCACACTATCATAATGTACCGGTGAATGTACTTTGCCGGTTTGCGTCACCGAAAGATATAATTGATCCAGCATTTGCCGTTTGGAGTAGCTCGTTATGTTAATTGCTTTAAGTTTTCTTCGTTTGTGTTATGATATGACTCATTCATATCATAACACAAACGAAGCTTTCCCTCTCTTTTTCATTATATTTTAGTTTTTGTGTAAACAATTACCTATAAATTTTATTTTAGAAAGTTTTTTTTTTATAATAGATAACTTTTGAAAGCATTCTTATTTTACCGGATTCACTACAGATGGGAATATCATATTATTAACTTTAAATACTTTTTCGTCACCTAGTTCGCTTAAATTTTAGGCTCCGCGTACCTGTAAGTAAAGTAAAGTAAGGTCCAGTAGTTTCGGTATCTAATATAAACAAAGAAACGATTCTTCCTATTGATAATATAGGCGTAGAAAATCACTGATTTATTTAAATTACAGGACAATAGAAAAAGTCACTTAAATCAATCACACCGGAATAAAATAAAAGGTGCCTTTACTTATATGATGTTGTACTTCATTGTATCAGATGCGCATAACCTTGGAATCTGATCAATGTATTGTTTAACGTGGCATCTGTGGTTTGTAATCTGAAAATGAATTTCGATATATCATCAACGTCGTCGTGCTATGTCCTTCATAACTTTAAAACTACGTAAGTTGAGAGCAGGACAAAAGATTAAACTGTCCACGAAATATCGAATGTCAATTTTAAGAGTAACATAGACTGGAAACTATTGCGTGTAAACCTTCACTCCCTCACTTCAGTTGGCTCGGGCACGCAGACTCCAAACTGAGTACCTTGAAAGAAGGCTATATTATTCTATTTAGCGACCTTTGGTTAGAGTTGCAAACTATAAATTGCATAACGTATTTAATATTAAAACTTTAAACCAAACGAAGTGACGTCACAAAAGATAATCTTATTGAACAAACTATCTGATGTCATATGCAATTAAATAATAATTAAAATAACACATTTTTTTGTTAGCAACTCTATTCCAGATGTACGACAATCCGGCCAAGCGCCAATAAATATCCTGAAGTGTAGTTTTCATTACGTTTGCTATATCAGCTGTGTAAATACAGACTGGAAACAACAAGAAAAATGAGAACATTACCAAAAATAACAATACACTTACTGACCTAGATATATCAACCTTCATGATTACGAAAATCTGTAACACTTTGTTATATGATTTACAAATTAATTGAGTATATGAAATTGCGAACTAGGATGTAATATAAAAAACGGCCAAGCGAGAATCGGACTCGCGCACGTAGAATTCCGTTAAAAGGAGCCTTAAACATTTATTTTATACGATTTTCTAGAATTTGTCTTTATGGCTGTAACAGAAATACATCATCTGTGAAAATTTCAACTGTTTTACTATCACGATTTATAAGATACAGCCTGGTGGCACAGACGGTAACCTATCTTAATTTCGAAATATTAATGTTCGAATTTCAAAACTTCGAAAACGGTATAAAGAAGTTTTGAATAACAGATATGTTTTTTGACATAATATTCTATGTAATAAATTTATTTTACACATGTTTCATTTTCCAGAAACATTAAAAAACGATTTTCAAAAGCTGTTTTTTTCTTTTTACAGATGTATTACTTTCAATATTTTTTTATTCTAGATGTATGAAATATCGAAGTAACCTGTCCCATAATTTTACTAACGCACTTATTTATTTTTCAACATTATTTATTGACAAAAAAAATAGAAAAAATAAATTCGATGCAACATGCATAATCATTATTAATATAACTATCATCATTAAATCCCAATCAATAATTGTGTGCAACAAAATATATTGACAGAAGTGAATCGCTGCAAAACCGACTTTACGTAGACTTGTCTGCCCTACCCCTAGAGTGCAATTTAATCCCGCAAAAATCATCTGCGACGATAAACTCGCGTGGGGCCGCCGGAGCCGTGACAGAAACAATGCATGATGTATGCTTGAATGCCTGCTTGCATGCCTGCATGCATGCATGCTTGCTTGCATGCATTTCAACACATTGAAAAATTAGATTGTTAATATTTTTCGGTTAGGCGTTAGCGTGTATGTAAACTTGCTGTATTATAAGTATTAGTTATTTATACTTATTTGTCTTTTTATAATATAGAAAACAATTTTCTGGAAACTAAATCGACTAAGATATGTATATTTATCACAGGTTGAGTAAGATTTAAAAAGTATTGATTTAAAAAATATGTATATTTGAAAATCGGATTATCAGCTATATGTCAACTGTTTTTTCGGTGAAATGAAAATATGGAAAACAAAAATGTGGCAAAACGTATTCGATTTAATGAAATTCGCACTGCAAAAATTCGATATTAAAATAGGTAACCGGCACAGACAGCGAAGCCTTAGTAATAAAGTTTCCCGTTTTACAGTTTGGGTACAGATCCCTAAAGATTATGATTGTTCAGTTAGTTCCATTTAAGAATTTTGTCCTCTTGAACATAGGATGGCTGATAACATTCATATGTCATTTTCATAAATAGAATATAATATTTATACAAAAAAGGACGCAATCCAACACCCAGGGCAATTCGGATTGGCGGATGTTGATGACTAAATGTGCCCACCGAAACGTACGAAACTCGAGAGAATTTCGATTCACCTATTTGATGACCGACGTTTGCGAAATTTACTTAATATTCACAATCACATACTCTCTGTCAGGTAATTAAATGAATACTCAACAACACATAAAGACACCATTTCTAAATATTTGCTATCCTATTTAGATTATTTATTTTAGGTTTACTTCCAGATATTCTTGGTGCAAATAAGTATCTGTATCATTTATGTATTCCAAAGTAATTCAAATGTACATTAACATTATTTTTCTGTTGCTCGTTGCTTACATTTATTTTTTTTTTCTTTAATATGTCAGTCAGTGACTGGTATCCCGCTTTTATTTGAAGTAAAATACATGAATTATTTGAAGACTTTTCTTTTTAATTTCACGAAGGAAGATCGATAGAATGTTTGAATCGTGGTATATAATGCAGACTATTAAATCAATCTAGCTAAGAATAGTTTTGACAATCCATAGATTTACTAACTTCTTTTTAAAAAATCCTTTCCAACAGTGATAATGATTTTAATAAAATAACAAGTGATTTAGGAGCAGTTACAATCAAACAGACAGAATGACAGCGGAGGAAGAGAGAAACACTTAATTTGTTCTGTATATATTGAGTGATAAGAACTGACTTACCCCCTATATATTTGACGGCCATCCAAACCATGACCAGGGTGGTAACGTGATGATAAACGTGTAGAAACGACGCCTGTCTCTCCTTCTTTCTCAGTATGAAGAAAACTGTTTCCAGCAACTCCAGCAATTTCAAAATAATCGTCCACCAGAGAAAACGTAGCATCCTCAGGGGTTCTGGCTTCATGGAATAGTCTGGCAGCATGCAGCCAAAGTGATAGGTAGTCGTCCATCCCGATGTCATGATCTGGTAAATAAGACCTATAAGTTGATAGAAGGAATGATATCTACAAAAAACTACTGTATTTTACGTGACAAATTAATCAATTTAAAGCCTCTAAAAACATACGTGTATCGTGTCTTTGTTATAGAGAACTAGCTGTTTTCCTGCTACTTCAGACGCCCATGATATAGCTTCCCGTAGGTGATAGAATTTTAAATCGCCCGGTAAAAAAGAATCCGTATAGATCATACATCGACTATGGCTACCATACAACTAAGATTATAAAGAATTACGCATTCTGTAATATTTGCCAAAATATATCTGTTAATAAACTTGTAGAAATACAGGCATGACATTTTGCGCCCAATATAAACTCGAAACAATTCCCCCAAGGAGCCGTCGTACCAGTCTTTACTACAGCTCGTTGCTCCTTTATTGCGACGGTTATAATTTATCGTCTTTCTGTTCACTCAAAGCATCGCTGCTAGTGATAAATAATGTTAATTCGTGTACATTTACCGGGACCTTTGACTTTGTTCGATCAAGATTAAATACTGTGATCGCCCGATCCTGATGAATGTTGTAGACTGTCACTGGCATTCTCTACTGAACAATTACCTCGCCAACGAACTGTGAGGCTGCCTATTTTGTTGGGCCGATAAGTACTCTTACTGCCTTTGTATCTGTGAGCTGTGAAATATCCAATTAAATTAAATATACCGGCTGGTCTATTTATTTAGCTTGATATTTTCGTTGAAATCAAAAATAATTAATACGTATTTATTTCTGAATTTTTAGGATATGTGTATAGAAATAATATCTATTGATGATATTGTTGTTTCTGATAAGTAATTTCTAGCCTTCAAAAGTAAAATAGTGACATTTCCTGTGCCATATCTAATATATAAAAGTTAATTAATGGATTTAGGATTTAACGTAAATGTAAATATTTTAATGTGTTAGATGCAAAAATATATTGAATATTATGAAGAAATCACTTGCCTCCAAATAGCGATCGATATTCCCTATATGACTATTAATGTTTAAGTTAGAATAGTTAAGGTTTTCTATTCTGCTTCATAAACAAAGGCCTTTGGAATTGATGCGATGTTTTTATAATGTGTAATTTTTTTTTTTTATAGCAATATTATCGTTTCTTGACGCCTTTGTTCATTCAACGAACCTTCTTCGTTATTTATGTGTCACGCCCTTGTCGATGAAGGATCAGCCGTACATCTGTATTGCTTTATTCTTTCAAGCTGTTTTCCTGATACTTCGGCCTCGTAAATTGTAGCCTATGTATATCAACCCTATGCGATGTCCCGCAGGTGAAAGAATTAATTAGTCTAGTCCTTTTTACATACTCATTGCAAACAAATCTTTTCTCTTTATAATATTAGTTTGTTCTTTAAATTAACTGAAATTTGATAGTTCTTTAAATTAAATAACTAAGAAATTTCTTTCTACTTGTTATATTAGCTTATCATAAGACTTTCTGTATTAAAATTATACCTACGATCTCCAAAAAAGACGTAAATAAAATCCTTGATTACATCGGTCTTATTGGAAAATTAATGAACTTTTTATATAAAACAATATAAAATAATTTGAAAATTCAATGTGATGTCTGAAGAAGCGCAAGAAGAAAAACCAAAATAACAAAGGACGCAGAATCGAAGAAGTATATAAAATCTAAATGACCACGCTTGTTTCTGGAACCACTAAGGAGGTTCGAGCCAGAACACTTTCTCTTCTTCTTTATTTACCTAAACATGTAAAAAGATAGCTAGGTAAAAACTAATTTAACTATAAATTATATGTCCATCATTGTATGGTCACTGTCACCAGTCATCACGTATTAAATCTAATGAAATTAAATTAGTCTCATACTGATCATGCGTCATCCATCATTTTGAGATAATCTTCCGTCGCCCTATAATTTTATAGTTTCAATTTCGATACTCATGTCGGTGAGCCGTTTCTAAAATGAATTCCTATGATTTGTCAAAGGCAATCTTCGCCCATAATTGGAATGATGCAACGGACTCATTATATCATGAAAGGCTACGGAGTCTATTCTTAACACGAAGACAGATGACTCGATACCGAGATCGATCGATACGAGCACAATGCATTAATGAAATTGTACGTTTCTACGGTGCGGTAGATAAATCGTGGATCGTATTAGCGGGCGTTCACGTTAATGTAGCTCCTACCTGATGAATGATGTAACTTGTATAACATGAATTGGTCAAATTGAATTAATAAATACCGTTGTAATTGATGGAGAAGATACGGAACAAATGATGGTTCCGAAAGAGCAGTTGATATAGAAACATACAAACTCCGAGAAACGGAGCGCAGTATAAAAGTAAATAGGGCAAGAAAATATTTGTTTGCATTACATAGGCTCTAAAACTGCTACACGGGTTTTAAAATTTTGTCACCTACGACATACGCGGGTGACATTGGCTACGTCAGATTTCTAATGGCACCTTATTCAATTGCGAGATGTAAATTATATTTGTTGTGTTCACCTCCCCCGGTTCAGATTGATCTGCTATCGGCCTTAAATGATGAAGAATTTTTCAAATAGATGCCAGGATTCCGGAAATATCTATCTCTCTTTGTTTTAGTAGCAATCTTTTTAATATTAGAGGATATAATAATAGAGATCAAATTGAGCTTACGTACAGCTTACCCGATAACCAGTTTGTAAAAATCCCATATTTAATACTATTACAAATCATTCTGAAAATACTCCAATCATTCCAAATTATGTAAAAAATATGATATCATAATAAAGTAACCTGGAAACTCTTTAAAATACAACGTGTTTAGAACACGTTGTATGTTAAAATTTACGAAACACTTGAGACAATCGGAAAACGAGATCCGCTTTGTGATGGGCCATTTCTGAGTCATCATACTGACCAATATTTCCGTACTCGCAATTCTTGCCAATGAAAGTGGCGGGTGTGGCAGTGACGTTGTCTCCAACAGCCACCGGAATATTCATGCTAACATTCTCCGAATACCTTCCGTAGATCATCTTACGGATTTATTATACGTGTTTTACAAACGAAAGTTAACGCTAGGTCGGTTTATTCATTAACATTGACTATGTTAATTCTTTTTCTTATAAACATAATGTGAAATTTGAATTATATACGAAGATTTTATGCGTAATGTTAAGTTGACATAAATTTTAAACCATGTCGCTTACTTACTTACGTTATAGTATGGTCTTTATTTTTTCATTGTGATACTTTTATAATTACAATGTCCACTCATGGCATGGATTCAAAACTCTAAAAAGAAGGCAGGCATCGGGGAAATCGAAACAAAATCAAGTAAAATGTTGCTAATGATTGTAAGCAACAAAATGGCATGCAAAATGACATAGCAAATTGGAATTTCTCTCTACCAAAATGAAATCTAATGCTACTTTTAAACTTGACTAAGTTTTTTATTACAAATGCGTCAGTTTAGTATTTTTGGGGTTCGTATTGGAAGATTGTTTAGCGGTATTGCTACCATGTACTCGTACCTTGTTTTTATTGAATTTCCGATATTTCAGCACTGTGGTAAGCGCTATCACAGAGTAACTGAAGTTTTTGCTGGTGGGTGCTATTGGCCGATATACCAATCCCACGGAAAATTATCATTCTAATGTAAATGACCATGGAAACTTAAAACAACAGACATTCCTTGGAATGATAAGGTGCATTATTTCTGACAGACAAGCGTCCTTTGAAATAGAACCACTCAAATACTTACTAAAATACATTTAATAATTACTCAGAACTATAGTATTGTAATATTTATAGGTGACCGGTTATAAACGAAAATGTTCTTTGTTCAATAGGCATATTAAACGATTTCTTAGTTGAAAACCAAATTAGAGACACATAATGCGACCTCTTAAAATGATAAATTTTAACAGCCTTTACATAGTTTTGCATTATGTATAGAACGTTCTTGAAATACATATCTTTAAAGAATTTTTTATCCTAGCAGGTAGGTCTACGTTGTATATCTGAAATATTTCGTTATCATTTTTTGTTATGTTGTACAAATTAGACCACATTTATTGCATCTAATGTGTTAGCGGCTTCAATTTGAGAATGCATATCATTATTGCATTCGTTCGAAATTGTCTATAACTAAATATATATTTTTTAATGATTCGCTATGCATCATTATTTCTATTGTTGTGTATGTTAATGATTGTATAATTAGTATGCGATGTTGTTTAAATCAGTTCGCCGTTAGTACTTACTCCCATCACTGACAGATACCGATTTTTATAGATCTTAAATGTTATCGTTTAAGTCCTATTATTGCGTGTTCCGTTTTCGAAACAAACCGTTTGCTTAACAATACCACTTGATTGCCCAAAACAATAATGTTGATACCATTCATATGTCACTGGTAATAACCGACATCGTAACTGTATGAAGACATTGACGTAAGTTGGTAGAGGTGTTGACAGATTAGAGTTTTTATGCAGCAAGATAAATATCTTTAGATAAACATTAAATTGTATAAAATAAGGTTACAAATGAAAATTATATTCTACGTAGTATTATCATAAATCCGGTTGAAGAAGTTAAAATGAGGTTTTCTTATATATGCAAACATAAATATAAATACTGATACTATACTAATATAATTTATTTTTTTGTTTATTTCATTTTATCGGGTCGTGATTATCTAGAACAATCATTTTAGCAATGCTATGCAAATCTGTAACTTTCATAAGTGCTAGTAAAGTGACATTTTAAAACTAAAGTCATCATCAGCTCTTATGGATGGTAAATGAATGGCCATGACCCTCCACGTTGGCCCAATACGGATTAGAGGATATTAACGTCTGCAAATGCAGCCAGCACGCGTAGCATGACGAACTCGAGAACATTTTGTCTACACTCAAATGTCACTTTTCTCGGGTGCGCCCATACTATATCTCACTCTCGTCCCGAGAAACTGACGAGTGAGTGTAGACAAAGTGTTTCTCGAGTTTGTCATGCTACGCGTGCAGGACCAACAGCTTAATGTACTTTCGTGATAACAATTTTTTTGTCACCCATTCCGTGACCAACCCTTGCGAAAGTTGCCTAAAAACAACGATTACCCACTACGTGCCAGCGTGCCTTGAATAAATAAATAAAAATTCTTCCACCTACGTAAAGCTGCGTCATAGGCAAGTGACATAGGCTATAATACAAAAGGCTAATATTTAGTAAAAAAAATACAAATTTGCGATGCTGTTGGTGTAACAAAGTTTTAAACTGACGGCGACTGTACAAATTCTAGTTCGATCAAATGCTACATGTCCTGATTTCACAGAAAACTTGTCGTAAATTAGTCATCTCCGAAATTGACTGACGTGAACCTGCCAGAGCATGTCACATTCTGATAAGGTCACGGTATTTCTTAAGTGCTAATAGAAAAATATCAATTTTAGCGTTGCTCTTTATGCAAGCTAGCAATCTGTCACAGACTTGCATTTCAATGCACACTTCATGGCATGATATAATTTTCTATACAAATATTGTAAAAAGAAAGATTCGATTGTTTGTTTGCATTGAATGTTCTAAAACTACCGCACTTAAAAAAGTCACCTACGGATAGCCACATCATACGAGAGCGGCCGAAGTTGCATGTAAACAGCTAACTACGTATAAATAAAGCGCTAACAAAATTCACTTACTCCCCATGTGACTACAGCGTTCGCGACAATCTGCACAATATTGTACCATTTGATAACAGGCCTAAGGTTGACAGCTCGCCTGTTCCTCATGAATTTGGGGAGCACATGCATGATTAACGCTAGGTAGGTTATAATGATAGCGACAAGAGGCCACGGTGACGTCATCAGAAGCCAGTCTTTTACTCTTTGATCTGTGAACAAGCACAAAAAAAAATTATATACTCGATTGGTTCTGACAACAAATTTTAGTAATTTCCACTTACAATCAAATTCAGGAATTAGAAATCAGCTAACGAACAGCTTTAACAAACAAGGTTTTTTCCAGAAAATAGGATTCAAAAACTCAATATCAGACGCCCTTAGCATTGCACTACACATATTAGCACCCGGTAATTGATTCCCATAAGGCCGGACCATCTTATCGTCTAGCCTTACAGGTATTCTACTGTTGTGCCAGTCGCCATATAATTATCTTTGCCCTGTCTCCTTTTGAGTGCAGACACAAATCATTGGCAATTTCATTTCACCATGTTTTTTCCAATCTAATATAAAAAGTTCGAATCACATAAACACGCAATGATTCAATAGTTTAATGGAATTCACTGTGTCCTTGTCACAATCTATTGCTTTTCATAAATTCAGCTGAGATCAAGATTAATGTGACATTCTTTTTAAAGTAGTTCATTTCCATTCGTTAAATTACTATAACAATTCGTGTGTAGATTACAATCTAACATCGAAGTCATTAGAGTTGGACGAATCGTATTTAAATTACTGTTGAGATAAACTGCAGGCTCAATGCGATTGGCCTAGATTTGTTTCCCATTGCACAATGAATTATTATAAATTTCGGCCGTGTGCGAATATGAAAATACGTTGCGAATTATATCCATTTGTTATCTGATTTAATTGCTCAACTCGCCAAGTTATGTTATGATGTGGAATTTTATGAATTCAGTAATCTAAAACATACTTATCTTCGCATGGGCACATCTCAACAACAGTATCTGCCAGTGATTACGTTTGTTTAGAATTTGGATTCTCAATCTATGGAGAATCGTTTGGTGGTGGTATATTCAGTATGTAAGAGCGGGATAAATGATGTGGATGTTAATCATGAATCATTTGTTCAGCTTCAGGATTTTCATAAGAAAATTACCATTGTTATATTTTTGTTTATTTATTTAACGTTTGGTTATTCAACGTGTATATATCCCAAGTGTGTCATGTTTCTAACGTCATAATACCTTATGACTCATATCCTATCCTATTAATATCATAAATGTTAAAGTTTCTTTGTTTGAATGTTTAGATGTTTGGATGTTTGTCGGTCAATCACGCCGAAACTAATGAACGGATTTTGATAAAATTTGGTATACATGTGGGGTATTAGCTGACTTAGATAATAATAGGATACTTTTTACCACACTTAATATTTCCCTAGGGTACACGCGGGCGTAGCCGCTGGCGAAAGCTAGTATGTTATAAAATCAAATTAAACGTAAAGCAACGACCCTAGCGGTATAGATTGCGTGTCCGAAGTCATCTCTTAGTTCCCAGATTTAATATCGCTTCGATTTAAACAATGATTTTTTTGTTTTGTTATCGTCATTTCGCAATTCAATAAGACAGGTGCATCAGCTCTGCTTTTATATAAAAAATTGGTTATGTCATCTAATATTTATATTCCATTTGTATAGCATCAGCGTTATATAATTCCTATTTAAAGTTCTTATTGAGAATTTATAGACTATTATTTCATACTGTGAGTTAGATAATGATTAAGTAAATGACTGAATACAATTGTAATGGACCGGACACTAGCTGTTACAGCTAATCCATTTAATATAATGTTGAAGATGGTTTGATAATGTAGAAATTAAATTAATTTCACCATGCGAACTCTCCATCAGGAAGTATTTCTTTCACCGATTTTGTTAAGCAATTATGAACTTTAATGCTCTAAAACTAAAATCTACTCTACCTAGTAGATATTCAGGATAAACGAAGTCATGTTTTTTTCCCGTTTTCATATTGAAATAAGTGGTAAGTGGTTAAGAAGAAATATAATAAGAAATATCGAATCAGAGTGTAACCAGTATCAGCCATAATGTATTTATTTCTATAAATCATATTTATATACGGTCAATATATTTGCATTGTTGAAGCAGTGAAATTTTGAAATAATAATGAAATTCAATGTAAAGTTTATTCAATAAATCAGTAATGAAATTCCTGAACGAAAAAAACAGTGGAAGCCATATCGATACCCTATATCTCCCGCGTATTACGTAACTTCCCGTTGATGAAAGACATAAATCGGTCCAATATTTTCGGAGTCTATTCAATACACACAAACAATCGATCGAATCTTTCATTTTTATAATACTAGCTTTCCGCCAGCGACTTCGCCTGCGTGGTCTTGTATAATACATAAAAAGCTTCCTTTTGCATCACCCTATCTATGAAAAAAAACTGCATCAAAATCCGTTGCGTAGTTTTAAAGATTTAAGGATATAGGGACAGAGAAAGCGACTTTGTTTTATACTATGTAGTGAAGTGTAGTGGAAAATGCAAATAAACAAAATATCATTTTGTAAGACTCACTATGTTGAATATTTTTATTCATATAGGTAACTATTTATTATTTTTAGTGTTGCTTATTATAAAAAAAATATCGATATAACTAAATAGCATGAAACAAAAACTTTTTTCAAACTTTAAAAGAGCGAGCTCTTATATTAAATTCATAACCTACAGAAAACCTCTGCTCAACTTTTTAGTATTATTTATCACTGTTTTAAAGTCGGTTCTCATTTTTTTGAAAATAGTTTTTTTGTGAATTATATTTATGCGGCTACACTTTGACTGTTTTTTAGGATGGATTTAATCGACTGATGGATTTAACAAATAAGTTTATTATTGATATTATCGTTTATAAAGAGATTTGTAAAATTTCGTCTTCGTCGTGTTCTTCCTTATTTATTCATAAAAAAAGTTATGAATGTGAAGGAAAAAATTGCAGGGTCCGTATCATATTTCTCCGCCCACCCACAAGGGAGTCAGCGTGAAGGTATAAGTTGTTTGAATTTATTTACGACTTTGTACTTACGGCTACTTAAAATAAGAAGACTTGATGTTTAGCATGAACATAGTTTGGATCTTTTTATTCAGAGTTCAGTTTATTCTTCTTGTCAGCCAATGGATGACAGAATACCTACTCCAGTATCAAAGCTTATTTGAAAAAATTGAGTTTTGTTTTTGATGCCGTTTAAATGTTATATAGTATATAACCTTATATCATAGCAAATTATGAATATTCAATTCTTTCATCGATATCCTTGATACGATTATCTGTCGTATCTGAAATGCATCGATCTCGTTATTACCGCACTATTGTTACAGATAATAAATGGTCTAGTAGCTGAGTACTTATCGCATCATCTTATCGTTAATCGACTCACGATCTTATAATGTCATGATTCATGACCGTTAAAAATGCATTCGATTGATTTGGTGCAATGTTTGAATGTGAAAGTTGTAAAATTTGGTCTCAAAGCAAAGGGCTTTCAAAGTTGTGATCCATATATTAATATTTATTTTACAGGAGTTGTTAAAGTAGCATTATCTAATGAATTAAAAATAATAACATGAGTGCGTATGATTTACAAAAACGGAGAGTTGACCAGCCGTTCTGATATCAATATGGTTGGTCATTTTGGAGTCCCTTTGTTTCGTTTCCAGGTTTGGTAGCAATGGTCATGAGCCTGATGAGAGCCGGTACAGTCAACTGCTCATTCTGACGCTAACGAAAAATGGATAAAAATAGTCCTCTTTTTGACTTGGCAGTGGGCTGATCTAATTGAGTTAAATGCTAATGAGTGAACATAAAACTGACCTGCTCTCTCATAGAAGACAACGTTATAAGCTTTCTTAACATATTCCATAGTTTCAAGACGTTGTATTTTGCGATTTCACTCGGTGTCACTGCTTATACTTGTCAGAATAGAAGCATACATTATGTATGTGCGTTAATCGTAATGCAACATTTTGCTTTATATAAAGTGTGTTTTATGTTGATCTTTTAATAATGACATATTTTTTTATTAAATGTATTGTTTTTTGAGTCCAGTCTCTTGAATTTTTGATTCATTATAGTATATAAACTCATTGTTTTAAACTGCTTAAATAACAATTTTCAAATTTATAGGTTCAATGACAAAGCACTTTCATACATACGTTTACACCCTATTTAATGGTCTTCGTGATGTAATTTTCAAAAATCCGTTCTTAGTAAGTTCACTTTTACTTATTATGGTGAATGGACCCTCCAAATTTCAAGTATACGACTAGCGGTTTGGACTGGGCGTTATCTATCAGTCCGTCAATCAATCCGTATGTGAGGACAAAGATTCTTATAGTATTAGATTATCTCGATTTAAAAAATAATCCTTTTTTATCACCGGCACGTTCGGCAATAGCACGTCATTATTTACTATTCTAAGCTAATATCATATTTCAAAACACTCTTACTAATAAGTAAGTAACTCGTTAATTGTATTTTGTTTTATAGAACACCGTGTATATGAAATTGAATTAAATTAAATCAATTCTTTAACATTCGGTTCGTTCATTACAATTTTAACAATGTCATCATGTGGGTCAACCGCAAATAACATTTAAGGTCGACGCTCACTAGGCATAGTATCAGATGTTTTATTAAATATTTATTGATGAATTTTCCATTTACTATGTTATATTGTCTAACACCTTATGGAGAAACGCTTAATTCCTATCATCATCACCAGCCATATTAATGTCCTCGCTGCTGGGATACAGGCTTTCCCTATGAATGGAATCGAATAAGCAGTTAGAGCCACGACCATCATACTCGGGTCAAGTGCAGAGTGGTGGCTGTTAGCGACTGCCGATGCAACCGCCATCAACGACTCAACCTGCATTCCGAAGCATAAAGGAGCTCGAGATATTAAATTTTTGATCACCCATCCTATGACCCGCCCTAGTGGAATTTGCCCAATTTCCACATAGCATACCGAACGCGCAAATCACTGCAACGTTAAGGTCCTCCTTTTCTGTTCAAATACTTTTAATCCTTAGTCCATCCCTGAGGTACGAGATCTTTTATCTTCAATTGTAATGGAAATTCTTAAATTGTTCACAACGATATGTTTCTAAATAAGGAAGTTTTTATTATTATTTCCCCAATATTATCAAAAGCCACAGTATAAAAAGTACACATATTAATAATTATAGCTTTCTTTAGATTTAGTATCAACATTTGCTGTATTTGTAACAAACCTTTTTTTACATTTTCAGTCAAAAGAAAAAATGACGCGCGGCGTGAGACGTGGCTGTGTGCGTCTCCGCGCGGCAGTTATCGGCATAGACGACGAAGATGATTCCACCTTCACAATCACTGTTGACCACAAGACCTTCCACTTTCAGGTAATAAATGGACCCGTCATATAGTACATTTACACAAAAAAAGATTACACACAGCATTTCAGGTTTTATAACATGTCTAATTTCTACATTTGATTTTGCACTCTACCTGTAATGTATTAAGGTTTGATTTACAGGCCGATTTGTTCACTTTCTTAAAACTACTGGATACAATTTTCTGACTTGTTGAGGACATGTATATACCTACTATCAACGAAAATCACACTTTAAAGTTTATGATATTTCTAAAATTGCTTTAATTAATTATGAAAAAAAAAACAAATATTTAATTCTCGTTGTCACGTGACCGCAAACAGCGCGTGACATCACATACTTACTCATATCAAAACTTAGAGAATTGAACCTTTCTCATACATGAAACAATTTTAGTTTCAGAGGGCACGTCACGTCATAGCTTCATGGCGTCCAAGAAGAAGTGGCTCTTTCGCGGGAAATTTCGAATAATAAATTTATTTTTAGATTTTAACTTGTTAAATAAAACACCATTCCCACCCATTCTCTCGTCGCTAGGCCGTTATCACCAATATGTGCGTGTGATGTATGCAAATAAAATCATTCAATACAATTTACATAAATGTTATAATCCAGGCGCGGGACGGTTCAGAGCGCGAGCGGTGGGTGCGCGCGCTCGAGGACACCATAGCGCGGCACGGCCGACGCGAGCGCTGGTCCCGCTCCATGCCGGCGCCGCGACATCGCCACGGGGACTTGGAGCGGCGGATCTCTGAAGCGGACGCGTATCTGCAGATCATGATAGAATTAGTATCTGTAAGTACGAAGATAAAACCACAGTATACTGCTTGATACTTTGTTTTATTTATTTATTAAGATATACAAAACAGGTGAAAATACAAATTGAAAGTATGTTTTACAGTTATCAAGGTTGCGACCCTTCACATGTACATACTGTAAACGCAAATTAAACAAAAACATGCATCTATATACATAAATGACTTTATAATTAAAATTTTTTTAACAACATCACTAAGTCACTAAATATAAATAAATAAAAATAAAAAAAAAACAAGTTAAAAAATTACACCAATGTGTTAACAAGTTAATATATTACATTTGAAAATATCAATATCCGATACATTACCAATGACTTCATTATATCGGCGGCACATTATAGATATAGGATTATAGTAAGAATTATTATTAAGATACACATTAAGTGTAAACATTTTTGGTCTTCTTGTGAGATAATTAGTGTTGAAATTAATTTGAGACAATAAATTAGAGGACTCAATTTTAAAGTTTACAATTTAAACGACGCCCTGTTCTTTTATTGACATTATGTACTGATTATTAAGCCGACGTGAGTCTAGAAATCATGATAGAAACAGAACAGAACAATTAAATTAGTGATTTACGACGTCATCTTTCGATCAGCATCAACTTTGGATGAATAAAAAGGTTTTATTTTTTCATGATTTCACAGATAATATAATCTCTCTCACTGATTAAGAGCGGCTCTGACAAATTAATTAATTAATAATAATTGTTACAGAAAATGAGTACAAGAGTATCAGAGCTAGCAGATCCACAGGAAAAGAGTAAAGGGCAAGTTATATTAGATCATTCCAATGTGAGTTGATTGATTTTTATCTATGTTTTATTTGTGCAATAGAGATGCTACCAATATCTATGATAGAAAAAAGTAATCAAATTCATAGCCTAATAAAATATATAAATCGTAAAGGAGATGTCCTAAAATGGGCCAGATTTATACACACATCTGTACACTATCTTTAAAGATATTGTTCTTGAATAAAATTGGTAAATATTTTATACTGACCAGGGAATAAAGATGGCGAACCTACGATAAAAACTATAATAAATTGTATTTGTAGCACCATTCTAGCACTATCTTCAGTCGAAACATGAAAAGCACTTTGAAAATATGTTTTTTAACATTCATTTATCAAGCTATGAAAATGTTCACTATATTTTGTTACTTGACCGTTGACCGAATTCAGAAAATACTGAATAATAATAATAATATAATCCTTGTTACAATACGAACAAGGTTGTTTATTCAGTATCATTAGAAATTTTAATGCAGCTATATTATGTAAGTATACAGCTTCTACATTATTGTTTTTCTTTGCAGGCAATGTTGGATAACATTAAACATTCCATAGTGCTTCTTCAAATAGCTAAGGTACAAATTAATTATTTTTATTTACGCGTAGAATTCGCTCGCTTTTATCTCGAAGAAACACTAAAAAGGCGCGTGCTCTTGCTACTGAGTGCTAATGTCGATATTCTCAAATCGATATTCTTCGCCGCTAATGGAACTTATTTGCTTCAATAATTTCAATAGGCTATGTGCAGTACAATCTAACTAATATGGCGAATAGTAAATATTCATTTACGCTGATTAAACATACCAAGCTGTTGATGACTGCTTTTACGTAGCAAATTTGTTACCCAGTATTCTTTAAAACCTAAAATAGACCGAGAGCTCGTGACAAAAATGTGTGAGAGCTTTCTAAAGTTTGATATTTCAGTATGTTGAGGTACTCATTCGGTACCCAGTGCGGGTCAGGTGTGGCGGTGTAAACCAAGCATCTATCTTTGTTCTATTTAATAAAATTTGTGTATTTCTTTTTTATAGTAATAGTCATTTTTATTTTGCTAGAATGTGGTACAGTAAACATCTTATATAAGTAACAGGGTTTCGAATCGACACATTCACCCAATTATGGGCATGCAAATTTAAACTAACTTAATCGATTATATAATAAATGATAACTAATACACAATAATAAAGTCATGATTAAATAATAGATAAGAAACATATGTCAATTTCAGCATGATAAACAAATATAAATAAGCAATAATTCATTTTAATAACATCAATAATCAACCCTTATCAACTTACTACTATGAATTTACAAATTAATTATATTTCGACCTGTACACAAATAATACTATTTTTTGGAGCTCATTATCACACCAATTATTGAGATCTGATGAGCTGTTAACTTTCCTATTTTATATTAAGAATAATTTGCGCCGCCGCCGCATGTTCTAGCGCCTGACCTCCGCACTGGATACTGAGTATATTATATATAATACTTATACATACTGAAATATTGAGTTTTATAAATTTCTTTCATATTTTTTGCATGACCTCTTTAGGCAACAACGATTGAGAGCCGAGCACTACCCGCTATAAAAATATATGCAGCTAACACCTTATATACACTTGCCTTAATATTTATCACTAATATTTATTGTTTTCTTACAGAATACAGTTAATCCAGTAAACGGTGTATATCAAGGACCAACGAACCTTCCACAAACACATATCAAAGAAGGTGTGACCAGTACTGTTATTACACATTGTAGATTACATTATCCATATATTTAAAAAGTGAGCTTAGTGACGCGCATATCTAGAAGAAATAATCACTTGGGTATAAGTAATAGCTTAAGCAAATATTTTTAATGAAAAGATGAGAATTTGAATGAAATGTTTAAAAATATTTATTTGCGTTATTATTGATACTCAAATAATTAATTACTTCTGCTCTCAACTATAGGTTGCGTATATTCGGTTATTTCTCAAAAAACATTATTTGAATAGGTACCCAAATAATTATTATATTTGACCAATTTTGCATTCACAATGCTATACTGACAATATTCTTAGTAAAAAATGCTTAAAAAAAACGCTTTGTGCCTGGCACTCTAAGATGGAACTTGAACCCTCGACCTTTCAGTCCAGGCGACTGCTCTGCTCACTGAGATACCCAAGACCTAACAAGACTAACGAATTTTTCAAGCACTTGTTAAAATTCGCTACTAGAGAGCCTGGGACTCGACCGTGAGCAGCCGCCCGGATTGCGAAAGGTCATGGTCAAAGATCGAGTGCCAGACAAAATTATTTTTTTAAGCCTTTTTCATTAAGAATACTTTTCAGTATAGCATTGTAAATACAAGATTAATCTAATATAATAAATTAGACTTAATTTGTAACAGAATATAAATAAACAAAATGGAAAGCTAATTACTCCAAGATCGAATTTCCTGTTAAGCCTACAATTCATGTCATATAGATATTGTAAAATGTAATAGGGATAGTTGATAAATGAGTTGCTGTTGAAATATGTTCTTTATTCTCAAATGAATAAAGTTGTATATCGCATACAGAGGGTGAGACGTCTCGTGTGGAGGTGGGCGCGGAGTGTAGAGAGCTGCCGTCACCAACACGACCCATCCCGCCTCTAGAACATATCGACGCACCAAGTATGTACTGTAGATTTGTTGTTATAGTTATCATCATCATCATCATCAGTCCTTTTACGTACCCACTGCAGGGGCTCAGACCTTCCTTATGGATGGTTAAGGAGGATGGGCCATGACCTTCCACGCTGGCCCAATGCGGAGTGGAGGGTATTAACGACTGCAAATGCAGCCGGGACCAACGGCTCAACGTGCCTTCCGAAGCACGGAGTAGCTCGAGATAATAATTTTCGGTCACCCATCCCGTGAAACGTATCTAATATTTTTCTATTTTCCGACTGACGGACTAAATAGAACTTTATTTTTAACCCAGTCGTCATCCCTATTCTAAATTTTAATAGGTAGTTCTTACTTCATTCAAATGCTCGTCTATTGGTTTAAATATTTGTTTACGTTATTAACTGATACTCAAATAATTACTTCTACTCTCGATTATAGGTTGCGTTGATTCTGTTATTTCGCAAAAACAATACAAGGTAAACAAATAATTATTAAATTAAGGAGATTTTTTTTTGGTACTTTATTCCGAAAAAAAATAAATATTTATTAATTTATAGTGGTATAAACAAAATTATCATACCACCTAGACCCAATCCTCTATCTTACATCAAACTTTCAGGCCTGAAAGTTCCCCTAATTTAGAGAATTGAGTTAAGAAAATTGGTATGGTTTACCTGGAAACACTAATATGCACAGCCATAAAACTCAATTTAAAAAAGAAAACACCTTAAATTAAAACAGAGGCAAAGGGATCTTTGTCTACTGCCTAGCCTTCACAAACTTAATCTTAGTACATAAAATAACAAGAAACCAAATCGTACAGTTTGCGAGAGGCTGGTGCCTCACAGAGGATTTGATAAACCTGACCTATAGGTTACCAGGACTCACCCCAAGCATATGTTGAATTCACATAATGCAGGGTTATTAGAGTTCAATGATGATAGAAGATTAGCAAGAGTCGCACTTTTTTGATCAATCAAGTTTGTGGAATAAAACAAGCTAGTAAAGAAAACAGTATGTTGTATTATCTTTAGGACTTATGAGTAATGTAATCTATATATTAATACGTGTAGCAAAAACTTTGGACCCTTTTACGAAAATTGCGAGGACGGAGGAGTATGAAACTTGGCACACTTACAGCCAGTTGCACAAACGTGCATTAAAATTTTTATTAGTTTAAAGCGACATTACTCATACAGTTTTGACATTCATTAGAGCTTAAAGGCGTCATTAAACCTTAATTGACGTTTGTGCAACTGGCCGTTATAGTTTATATGTAGGAGAATTGAATGTAGGAGAAACGGCTAATATTTGTCAATAATAATGCTAATAAAGTACATTAAATCGATAAATAAAACATTTCACACAGTACAATGCATTTGACACACACAAACAAGTATTTGCTACACGCATACATGTACTCTGTGGTCAAATTGTATCTTTTGACATAGAGTTTGTTTGTTTCTTTTAAATATTGGCTTCGCACGGTTAAGTTTTATATGTTTACCATAGACATCTATTTATATGTTTGTGATGTTTACTGGAGTCTTACTGAATGCCAAAAGATTTATATTAAATAACTTCTAATTGAAATTTATTATGGTCGAATTTCGACCACTGGGCGAAGTCTAATTACTTATGTATTATTATATTATACTTAAAGAGCTAAAAAACCAATTCATATGGCTATAAATTAGATTATTGTTATTGAGATATATGTTAGTTGGTTTCTTTGCACTCTAGCGGTTGAAAACAGTGAGCCTTATTAGGCGACAGTGCCTTATTTGTTTAAATGATTGCAACGTTGTGCTTGTGACAGGACAGCCGATGTCCCTGTTGGTGCCGGACACGTCGTACTCGTCGTCGGAGGGCGAGGACGACTTCTACGACGCGGACGACGGACCAGCGGACGCGCCGCTACCGGGACCCAGGTATGTATAAAACCTTTTTAATTTTTTTATTTATTTTTTACTAATGGTTTACACGCATTAAGCACAGTACAAATATATGAGTAGGTGCACTCGAATCCGAGCTAGAGATAATAGCCTAAACATGTAGGGCTGTCGCTTATAGGTTATTCAATCGTCGGAAATGCATGGTCAATCAATCTCTTAAATATAGTTTCCCCCGGTATGGTAAACATCCGGGAACTATAATACAACTTTTTTTTAATAGCTATTAAGTCTCCACTTAATAGTAGTTGACTAAACGAGCCATAGTAAAAGTTAATTTTATAATGACTGGTTTAAACGTATGCAATTGATTAGTATTTATTGAGTTTTATTGACCAATATAAACATGGTGCAAAAGGCGGACTTAATGCTAATAGCATTCTCTCCCAGTTAAGTTTTGGAAAAATTGACAAACGCGATGGCGGTACAGTGCAATAAAAATAGATCGGTAATTTAAATTAAACTACAACAACAATAATACTAAGCTAATCATAAACATACTACATACTAATATATAGGTCTCCCAACAGCTCACCACTTTCCTTAATTCTAATTGAAGGCGCCCTTTATGGCCTTAGGCAGGCTATGCAGGGAGGGAGATCGAAATCTCCTTAAAAACGTGGGTGGACTGTAAGGCCCGGTCAAGAAAAATAAATAATTAAATTAGCGGGTTTTCGCGAGGTAAGAGCTGGTGACAAGTACGAAATAAATGGATATCTCTCTTATTTTTGTGCAGTGCCAAAGAGGAAGGAAGACAGGAAAAGTACTAATGTCAACCAGCGAGAAATACAAAATGGAGATACTTATTATAAAAGCGGCGCGAATAATCAAATTAATTATTAATATTAAAATAAATGTATGTTGGCGTTACCACTAATCATATCCTTAATCTTCTACAATCTGGCTTCCGCAAGGGCCATAGTACTTCTACTGCGTTGGTTAAAATAACCGTTGACATTCGATAGGGTATGGAGAATAAACAGCTGACTTTCTTAACGATATTAGACTTCAACTCTGTTGATTTTGATGTATTTCTCGGTGTTATGGTTGCTAATGTATCTCCAGCCGCAATTGATTGGTTTCAAAGTTACCTACTAGGACGCCGGCAACGCATCCGTATTGACGATTTGATCTCTGTGTGGTGTAATATCAATGCAGGCGTTCCTCAGGGTGGCATCTTATCTCCACTGTTTTTTTTTCTATCCTTATAAATCCTATCACTCGGTCATTATCATGTTCTTATCACCTATATGCTGATGATCTCCAGATTTATACTCAAGCACCGCTATCTGATCTTTCAAAGGTAGTTTTGGTTACCAATTCTGACTTATCACTAATGAATAACTGGAATAAATCATATGGTCTTATCGTTAATCCATCTAAGACACAAGCTATTGTAATTCGCAGTCGTCATTTCGTTTCTGGGATTGATTTTGCTCTCCTGCCCTCTGTAAAGTTCAATGGGACCATAATTCCCTACTCTAAAACTGTTAGAAATCTGGGAAATATCATCGATCATCATTTCTCTTGGAGGCCGCAGGGCAGTCAGTAAAAAGTATTTGCTGCTTATGATTCTCTCAGTCGCTTACGTAATTTTCTGCCAACTAGTACTAAAATCACCTTGGCGCATTCTCTTCTGTTGTCTATCATTTATTTTTTTTATTTTTTAAATAAAATAAAAAATAAAAAAATCATTGACTGCGCTGACGTATGTTATACGGATCTGTCGGAAGAGCTTCTATACAAACTTGAACGTCTGCAGAATGTCTGCTTTAGATTCATTTTTAATCTTAGAAAATATGACCATGTGACACACTTCCGATCCAAGTTACAATGGCTAGGGGATTCGCCGGCGCAGGGACTTGCACTGTCTTACGGTTCTTTATTTTATATCTTTTCCCCCATTCTCTCATTGCATGCATTCTCTTACGGTTCTTTATTTTATATCAACCAGTACCATTGGCTGCACATAAATTTTATTCGGAAATAGTAAGGCCGTATGGTAGAAGTCTACGCGGAAAACAGCAAATATCTGAACCAGTCGCAATGGGAAAATTTATTTTACTCACTCTATCAGTAATGAACAGGTGTTTACCCCCGACTTGACAGCAGACAGCTGCCGCCATTAACACTGACTGCCTACCTGGTTTCCTGAAACAGGCTTCCAAGCACATGGTTGCACACACTTCTCTGCTTTGGCATCATACTTTCGATGATACCAGCAAATGGTGTTGGAGCGGGATGACGTCCTGGGTCTAGATCTGGACCTCGACCTAAATGTCGGTTGACATTGGCGTACTGTCAAAGCTGCTACTTTTGTGGACAGTTCCTGTAACTTATTAACAATTGATGATAAATCAATATCGCTATCAGCAGCTGCTAGAGGTGTTACAGTGAGCGTAGCAATAACAGAAATTTGTGAAACTTCAAAAATTTTATCAGCCAATTCTGCTATCTTTTCCAGGCTTAACTCGGCTTATGCTCTAAGGATGGCTTGGACTGTTAGGGGGAAACGCTGCAAAAATAATTCCCGTAGAATTTTCTCATCGTTCAGGTTACCAGCCAGAGAGCGTAAGTGTCTCAGAAAAACGCTGGGCCTTCTGTCTCCCAGTTCTTTTCCTGATATTAATTGGCGAACTCTTTGTGCCTCACTCGCTGAAAACCTCTTTTTCATTTCGCCTTTAATCCACTCATACCTCTGGCCGTGAGGTGAGGATTTGTAACAAGGTCTTCTACATCCCTGGATAACCTAGAGTCAATTTGTGACACAACGTAGTTATATTTTGTCTCATCAATTGTTATACCCGATAAGGCGAACTGTGCCTCAATGTGGTGCTGCAGGTCAGCATTTTCTTTAACGAGCCGTTCGTTTTGGGTAATCAATTTTTCCATTTGTGCTTTTACTTCCTCCATTATAATATACCTTATTACCACTTGATCAGTCACTATAAAAACTTTACAATTACAATCTAATTACTACAAATAACAAGGTATTGAAGATCATATGCCAAACATATTTGGTAAAGTTATAAAACTCTAATCCAATCCAAATTGAAAATCCAAATAAGGGATGGATAGAAAAATGTTAACATGAAATTAAAATTTAACACAATAAAAATAAAGTAGAGACATGATTTTAACTTATACCTAAGAACTTGACAAAATAAAAACTACTTACATGAATAATAATGAGTATGTACACAAAATATAATGCTCAATGTCTTTGTTCTTCCATGCACAATGTTACATTCACCGTACTTGGAGAAAACAAAACATTCCGAGTCTTGAGTAGTACGTAATTGAGGGCTCCTACTTCCACTCACTTTCTATATTGAAGTGAAAATTAATTATAGTATAGAAGTTCTATGTGAGGAACTAATTAGGTATTGGTGTATTCAAGTCCATGCTTTATATTTGGTTGTTTCATGATTTAGCCTTGCTGAGTGCTTCAAACATCACTTCAAGCGAAGGTTCAAATCTGGCTTCGTTACAAGGAACATGTATCGTTTTTCATGTTCTATGGATCTATTAGTAGGTTGCGTGTTCAGATCACGTCGCGTCACCACGTTGGGTTTAATCACCACGAAAAGAAAGACGAAGGAACTTGGATAGTTGTACTTGTAATGATACCAAACAATACATTTTTGTTACCAAACTTATATGCTACTTGACGTTCACATAGCGTCCCCATAGACAACCCAACCACTCCCGGGGTATGGATGTGTGTATATAATAATTTTGGGATAGTGATAGCGAAACGCCACAGAGTCATTTCCTATCTATATCCTAAAACATTATTACTTATTATATTCTAACGAACTGTGACCCGGGTTATTTTTTTTAAAAGTGAAATATTTATATTAACGTAGATACGTAATTTATTTAATTTATAACTCACAAAACACAAGAAAAATTAATTAACACAGAAATGCCGATGTTACTCCGATGAACGCGCGCGAAGCAATGAGAACGCTCGTAGGGCGGTGCTGCCTTATATACCCTGAGTCGACAAAAAAATATTATCTGCAACAATATATATTTTAAAATGTTTTAGAACTTTCATTTAAATCTGTCTTTAAAGTATCTTAGTATAGGTGTATGTTTGTATGGAGTTATATCCTGTTATTTATTTATTTATCCTTCCTTATATTGCACCTACCACCCCCACACTACTTTATTTTTTCTCTCCATTGGTTGCCTGGAATAGATTGCTGCATAGCAATAAGGCCGCCATTTGTGTTCTGTTTCTTTTCACTATAATTTTCCTGTAACCTGTGTTCTATTGAGTGCAATAAACTCTATTATTATTATTATAAAATTCTTAAAAATGCTTTAATAATCCACGTTGTCCCTGGCATTCTGAGACGGGACTCGAACCCACGACCTTTCGCAATCCGGGCAACTTGTCTAATCACTGAGCTACCCAGGACCTAACAGGACTGACGAATCTTTCAAGCACTTGTTACTTTTCGCTACTACATAGCGTATTTTCATCAATGTTCAGGCAATACCATCTGAGAGTGCCAGGGACAAAGTGGATTTTTTAAGCATTTTTTAATGAAAAATATATCAAATATAATAATTATTAATCAACTAAATACGTATAAGCCAGCCATTACATTAACGAACGTTTTGAAAACCTTCTAGTCCGATACCTCCGTACACATTGACACACGTGGCTCTAACCAAGAAAGCGTTTCGTTTTATTCATCGTCAAATACTACAACATTTTTGTGAGGAAAAATACATGTCCTATTTTTTTTGTGAATTGATTCAAATTCTTAGAAAATGAACAATAAACTTGTATAACTGACAAATATAATATAACGATCTGATTCTAAAAAAAAAATCATGCACACAGAAATTTTTGAGATAGTAATCTAATATTTTTTTATTTATTCAAATTCAAAATTAATTTTGTCTTGACACAGACACAAGACATATTGCTAATAAAATAATTATAAATAAAACGTTAAATC